AATTTGCATGTTTACTACACTATATTTTATTATTTAGTCTGATGTAATATTTTATTTTTGGTTTAGTACTTGAAAGTACAGTTTGACATGCATTGGGTGGGATATAAACATAATAAACATAATAATAATAATAATAATAATAGAGTTATTAATAACAAATTAAATCTTATCAGATGTTGTTGGTATGCTCAGTTTAATCCTTAAACACATTTAAATGTGTAGACAATTAGCTCCTTAATAGCTGTCATAGCAAGGCACTTTTATTTGGCTGATCCCTTCCAGGTAATCTTTAGTTTGTGATTTCAGAAGCGTTGGTTTACATAGTTGAGGATAAGCATTTTTCTTTCCACTTTGTTTTAGGCTTTAATTCACGGGGTCGTGCTCGATATATTGTTGGGCTACAATTGCTGTCTCCTTGATCTGTGATCATGCTGGCTGGGGCTGATGGGAGCCACAGTCCAACAACATATGGAAGGCCACATGTTCCTCCTCTCAAGTATTACATCCAGATAAGACAATGACTGGAACAAATTCTTCCATTTTTATGAAGCAGAAAAATAGAATAGGGACACAAGAGTCTGTTCACTAGTTCCCCAACATGTGTGCAGGTAACAGCCAGAACAGGTAGCAACATTGTTTTGATCATATACCTGTATTGCCCTATGGAAGGAGTGCTAATTCTATAGTGAAGTGAATGTTTTTAGGCATTACATTTCTATAGTGAAGTGAATGTTTTTAGGCATTTTTAGTGTTATGTTAACAAAATGTCTTTCGGATCTCTCTTACAGTTGAAATGTTGCAAGATAGGTTTTTAAAGGGAACCCCCAGTGGCGCAGTGGGTTAAAGTGCTGAGCTGCTGAGCTTGTTGACCAAAAGGTTGCAGGTTCGATTCCGGGAAGCGGCATGAGCTTCCGCTGTCAGCCCTAGCTTCTGCCAACCTAGCAGTTCGAAAACATGCAAATGTGAGTAGATCAATAGGTACCACTGCAGCGGGAAGATAATGGCGCTCCATGCTGTCATGCCGGCCACATGACTTTGGAGGTGTCTATGGACAACACCGGCTCTTCAGCTTAGAAATGGAGATGAGCACCACACCCCAGAGTCAGACATGACTGAACAACCTTTACTTTTACCTTAGGTTTTAAAACTTTCTCATTGTAAGTAAAAACTAACTTTAAAGATATAGTGAACCATCCTGTGGAGTTATTTGCATGTTTAGAAGTAATCACATCAGTAAATTGAATAACTTGAATAATTTATTTCCTACATTTGTAACCCGCCTTTCTCACCCCCGAGGGGGGACTCAGGGTGGCCTCACAGAATTTAATATCAAGTCACAATATGGTACATCTCCAGTTTTATTCTTGTATCTTCTATACATTTTGGATTTATGGTGATCCGAAGGTGACCCAGGTCTGAAAGAGTGTTTTGCTGCAGGTTCCCATGGCTGAGTAGGAATTTAAACCCAGGTCTCCAGATTCGTAGTCCTATGCTCAGACCAGTACACTGCAGTGGCTCTTGCCACATGTAAGGCTTCATTTCAGGAAAGATACCTTACATGTTGATTATTTAATTAGGTCAAATACTGGAAGAGCAGAAAACTAAGCAAATTAATATTGAAATGTTTGTTGTTCAGAGTGTGAGTCATATTAAGGCTTGAGGTGTTAATGATAACTACAAATTTTGTTATTTGTTTGGAATTGTAATTGATAAGCCAGATTTTGGTGAATAGTTATTAGATGTTCTGCTTACAGACTGTCATGGAAGCATGTGTGCACCTGTTAAATGCCCAGTCTTTTGTGAATTGGATTCTGTATTTTCAGTTGGCTGAAGAATGCAGTCTTCCACTTCTTGGGCCAGCACTCCCATTTATTCCTTTGATTTTGTTCCATTTTAGATTATTTATTTATTTACATTCGTTATATACCTTTTTCTACTTTGTTATTACCAAAATTTTAATAATATCAATTTCAAAGTCATTATAAAATATGAAAACAGAATCAATAATAGCAATTGGTTTTATTCCCTTCTACTTATATAACTTGGATGCAGTGAAACATCCCATCTCAGTGGAAATTTGTTAGCAAAGGCAAACAGTGCTTGCTGCAGATCTGAAAGGTCCTTTATTACTAATGGTAAACTGTGAAAGACTGTAAGTTACTTTACTGGAAAAGCTATGATAGATGGTTTTGCGATCTCAGTCTTTTCAATGTTTTGTTGTCTTATCATTTCTCTTTCCCCTTCCCCTCATGTGTGTTGCATGTGTGACTGAAGCAACCTCCAGTGGAAGTACATTTTGAATTTGCTCACTGATGGTTCTTCTCTCTTTCCTCAAAAAGGTGTTCAGACTTCAGGAAATGTAATGTTGAGTTCTGGATGGCAAATCATGTCAATGGTTGAGCTCCATGAATGTGCTCAGTGTGCTTCCAAGCTGTTGTGAAATGCTTTCTTTTGATTTGTATATGATTCTAAATATTTTGTTTTTAGCGTGTAATGTTTTATCTTGTTGTAGAGACTCCAAAGCAACATTTTAATACTGTTTTCAACCATATTTAAAGTATTTTCAAGTATTTCATACCTCTTTCTGTACTTTTTCCAGAAATCAATACATCTAGCCAGAAAATTTCATTTTATTGGCAAGTTGCACATGCTTGTAATTATGTTAAGTGTCAGAGGGTGTAATGTTTCTCCCTTTTTAGGGCGCATCTACACTCTAAAAATGCATTTAAATGCAGTTTTAGCTTCTATTGCTCAATGCTGTGGAATTACAGGAATTGTAGTTTTACAAGGTCTTTAGATTTCTCTGCCAAAGAGTACTGGGGGTTCACCTAAGTCCAATTCTTAAGATTCCATAGCATTGAGCTATGGCAATTAAAGTGGTATCAAAATGCATTAATTCTAGTGTGGTTGCACCCTTACTGCAATCTGATCTGAACATGTATTTCTTCATGATTACATATAATAGCATTTAAACTGCTGACCATTTCTCTGTGGCATATGATCAGAAAATCTTAAGGCTTTGGTTTGGTTAGAATCCAAAAGCACAGGAGATAGACTGTGTTTTTCTTTTCATTTTCCAAGATATTATTAATAAAAGTCTGATTGTAAAAGGTAGAGGCAACATAATGTTAAGCAACCCAATCAAATTTCGCTAAAGCATGTTGCCAAATATACAGAAAAATGACCAATTAAGCCAGATGGACTGCTGTCACCTCTAGTAACTACTAGTGTTGATTGAATAAAATATCTACTGCTTATACCACTTCAGATAGCTCTTCAAAATTATCAACATAATATGTATCGGATGACTTTGTGACATTGAACTCTGACTTTGAATCCTTGCTTTGAATCCCTGCTTGGCCATAGAAACCCACTGGTCTACCTTAGGCAATCCCACTCTCTTCATCTTAGAAGAATGCAAAAGCAAGCCCCATTGCACAAATCCTGTCAAGAAAACAAATGATTGTTTCACCTTTGGATTACCATATAAACAAATGAAATCACACAACAATAACAATAATGGTAAATGGGCTAACTTATAGCTGAGTAGAGTATTCATGATTAAAGGCAGTGCGTTTCTGATTTCTGGGTGTTGAGAACATAACTGTTTTATTATCATATTGTCGAAGTCTTTCATGGCCGGAATCACTGGGTTGTTGTAGTTTTTTGGGCTAAATGGCCATGTTCTAGAAGCATTCTCTCCTGACATTTTGCTTGCATCTATGGCAGGCGTCCTCAGAGGTTGTGAGGTATTTTATTATCACTTACAATTGTTCGAGTCCATGGGTCAACAAAGAAGGCTGTCATTTTCATAGGTCATATTTATGTACCCCTGATTTTTCACCAACACATTCAGTGTGAGCATATTCTCTTAATTGACTGCTCTCAGTCAGTTGGATTACACAAGAGAGAACTGAATTCAAAGTTGTGTTCTAGGTGTATTACCAAATAAATCCTCAGCAAATTTACTACTATATTGTTATTTGGCAATATTTCGTTTAAAAAGCAATATGACAAGAACTCCATAATTGTATTATTGGCGTTATTTGCCAAATATGGAAATTGGTATTAGGTACAGAATATGTTTGTATGTACTGTACCATCAAGTTACCAGTTTCTTTGTGGAGTTCTCAAAACTTTCATAGGGATTTCTTAAATAGGGTTTTGACAGAGTCATTCTCTGAAATGTTATTTATGTATTTGTCTGTTGTCTCCCAACCAAGTACAGACTAGGGGTGTCACTATTTCGTTTCTAAGATTAGATAGTCATCTGGTGCCTTGAGAGTATTAAGATCCTTCAGAATTTAGCATCTTGATATGTTCAGGCTTCATTTAAAATAGTTGGAGAAGTTGATCTCGAAATGTGTAGAGAATGCTTAAGAGAGATTTTTTTAAAATAGCATATCACTGGATATTAGCTTAGATATTTAGTTGTGTCTTTTAACAATTGGTGAAAGAAGCATCAATTGTGCAAAAATCAAGTAGGTTTATTTACATAAGTTATATAAGTTGGAGAAATGTCTTCCTCTATGTAATAAATATATAAAAATCAGTGCTTGATATATACTGTTTGCATGACTGTGTATGTAGACAATATAAAACATGACAATAATACTTAAACATTCATGTATCAGGAGAATCCTTTCTTTATATTCCGAAGGTTGAAGAGGGAAGTCTTCAGAATGCATTTATTTTCAGATTTTTTACTTGTAACAAATTTGCTGCAGAAAACTAGTAAAAAACCATGTTTGTTCTTAACATTTTGTTTTTTTAAGTTAACAAATCAACTAATACTTAACCTCTTATATAACTCCAGGAGACACTATATGTTGACAAGAAAACTGAGATTATCGGAATCATTTCTTTGGAAGTCATTTTACCTATGTCAAACATTTTGTTTGGTGTTTCACTTTTTAAAAATGAACATTAAATGTTATTTTAAAGGTTATGAAAATATGCAATTTCAGCAAATGAACAAGAACTTATCTTTTTTGCTTTAGGCTTTCAGATAAACTTCTGTGAAAAAGCACAAAGTAAGCTACATGTTTTTATAGTATTTGCTATTTTATTTTATTTTTATATCATTCTTGGTACTGGGAATGTGTCCACTGTTGATCTAACTAACCAGCCATGCATTAATATACGGGCAGAGCTTCCATTTTACATCGTACTTCAAAATTTGATTGCATATTTCTGTAATGCTACTTCAATGCAGCTTTTCCAACTTGAAAAATAGAGATCTGTGTTTCTATAGCATATATCTAAATTGTAATAAAGGGGAAATATTTATACTTTTCCATAAATCAAATTTAGTGAAATCATTTTTCTTTGGCTTTAGAATTTGTCTTTGGTAACTTTTTCAAAAAGTATTCATAACTACTTAAATTGCTTGCTCTTTCAATAATGAATTATATTTTAGTTAGATTTCCTCTTCTTATCAGATAGCTGAAGAATTTTCTTATCAGATAGCGGCTTTATATTTGTCAGGCCATAACTCCAATAGTGTTTAGGCTTTCTGGCAGTGGCCCTTCATGAACTTATGGACTCCTCTTATCTTCACTTACATGGGAGTTAGCAGTGTAGGGACCCTAGGACAGTGGAAAGCCTGCAAATAATCAAAGCTAGTGGTTTTATCTAAGAAAAACATATTTCTAAGAATTTCGAAGTCCCCCAATGCAATTCCATATTCAGCCTGCAGTTGATGATAGAATCATGCTGGATGACCTAGAGAGAAGATATTAATCAAATTTGCAAATATTCAAATCTGCAAATGTAAAGGGGCTGACTGTACTGGTAGATATTCTGGAAATGCTGGCCTTTAAAACTTGAATCTCAGGCACATGAAAAACACGTGTCCTGTCATTCAATCAGAGTTCCTACCTTGGAGTTGCACTTTTTATTTTTAATTATCCAGTATGTTTTCTGGTACTAAAATTTATCTTTTGATGACTTAATACTTCCTGTAATGCCCAAGTTTCTTCAAAGGTCAGGGGAAAAAACTTGTTGGTTATCTTCAGCCCATGTTTGGATGTTTAATGGAAGTTCTTCACAATTAATTTTCATTAATTGTTTCATTCTTTTGTGGCTTTTGTTTTGTAATTGCTATGTCCACTGTGTCTTTATGATTGCTTGCCATGCTTTAGTGGGAATTTTATTAGAGACCAAAGCATAGCATTGCTAGCATTTTTCTCCTTACTTTATAAATCTTGCATAGTTGAAAATCCCCTTTATACCTTAATTCGGATTGCATTCTCATTTTTATTGGATGGATATATATATATGCGCACACACACACACATAATAATATCATTTAGGATTGATGAAGGGCTTATCAATAATGACCGCATTCCTGTTGGGATTTTATGTCTGTTTATCTCGTTAGTGGGTTGTGTCAAGAAATGCAAAGGAGTTGGTTTGAGCCTATTATGTCATAACTTAACTTGCAAAAAAAAATCATAAATCTATTTTTATCACTCATAATCTGATACTATGGATGTCTAGGAGAAGTAATATTTTAACCAATTACCATAGAGATCCATAGTATCAGTTTAAGAGAGATAACATTTTTCAGTAAATCATACAAATACATCCCACCCCCCACCCACCCACCCCAAAAAAAAGCAAGTGGAGTTTGGGAGAATTTTGTCATAGAGTTTCCCCTTTCAGCAATTTTTGTATTGTGCAGAATCTTTATTTCCACCCCCTCAGCCCTCTTGCAACTGTTATAGACTGTGCTTTTCCCATGGATGTTAAAGTCTTAGTACTTAGCAATGTGACTGCTTATTACTTAAATTGCTTTTAAAAGCAGGTAGCAGTGTCCAGGATCTCAGGCAAATGTAGTCAGGAGAGTGATAAGTTTTAGACTGCGGATTAGATCCAAGGCAGAGGTTTGGATGTCTTTTTCATGATATATTTGACTTGGTTTTGATCCCACTTTTCTCTGCCTTCAGTTTTTACTTAGTGTTCTTTAAAAAGTTGATGAGAAAAGTCAGGTTGTCTTTTGGTTCTCTCCAGTAAGATGCTTAAAACCAGGGTTTCTGCTTTAGTCTCACTTTTCCTATGGCTCTCCCCCCCCCCCCCCCCTTCTGTTGCATTCTTATGCCTTATGGCTCACCAGTTCTTTCCACAATTCCAGTTTGTGTCATTTTGGAGCTCCCTTTTGTAGGAATGAAAAGAAAACTGCACATGTTTCTTCTGTTGTTCCTGATTGATTTAAACATAGGAGTAAATCTAAAGCAGAGCTTGATTTCCTAGTCCTGAGTATTGAGTTCTGGCACCTACCTGCTAGAACTGGAGTTGAAGCCACACAGTGCTCTAGCTGTTTTTGGACTGCAACTCCTTGCATTCCTTGCCATTTGTTATATTGGCTAGAACTGTTGGGACTTTCAGTTTAACAACCCCTGGAGGGCCTCGTGATTGGTGTTTCTAAGCTAGAAAGCTGGAATTTGAGAAGCAGTGTTAGGAACCAAGTCTTCTCTTTTGCAGGGGGCATGAACAGAGCTTTTGATGTTAAGTGTGAACCAAATCAGCCTTGAGACAGTCTGAATTAAAACAGAAGTTGCCCCAGGGTTTTTCACTTTTTCTTTAAATTTACAATCTTTTGATTACATTGCTGGTAGGTATCTGGCAATGAAAGTTACCACCTTTTCAAAATTACACAAGACATTCATTGATTTTCCCTAAACAATATTGGCAGTGTTTGTATATGCGATGGGGAAAATCAAGTGATGTCAAGACTAGCAGGTAATGAGTAAATGATTCCAGCACTTAAATTTTATGGTTCTTGGAATATTCTATTAAGTCTACGGAGAATGCAGATCAGAATACTTTATTGGCATTTGTCCACATAACTAACTAAATGGGTAAGGATCAGGTTCTAGACTTGCTCTTGTGTGATAAGAATGTTAATGAGATGGTGCAAAAAGGCAATTTTAAACTATGCCCTCTGCAGTTGCCCTTGTCATCTGTTGCACTATTCCAGATGCCCTTCCAAATCTCTAAAGAAAATGTTTGTGGGTCCAGAGAACTGGTTGTGGGAGGAAATTCCATGAAAATCACCATAATTTTAAGCAGGATACAGAGCTTAGGACTCTGCCTACCAAATTTTATAGTTTAGGTCAGTACTGCCAACTATCTCATGATTCAATTAAAAAAAAGACTATTTGGAGGAAATACCCAAAGAAACCTCTACAGTGGTGCCCTGAAACAAGGCTTTATTTCTCAGATTTTTTCTCAAGATTTTATGAACTGAATGAATTCAACTGTTTAATGCTTGGCTAATGGAACATTACTATATTGTCTCTTGTATCCAGTTTACCTTTTTTAAAACTTTGCTTGTTATAAAATGATTTTAAAATGTTTCAAGATGTTATTTTTATTGTCTTTAAATTATATTATAAGCATTTTTGATTTGCTATCTCTAGAAAGGTATGCTGGATATCACTATGAGAAAATTCAGTACAAAATAAATAAATAAATAAACTACTCTGACATAAATTTAACATCCTTCCTATTCTGTATATTTGGCTGATAATACTAAGGGATAAGGAACCAAAATCATAATGTTCTGTATCCCATTTCTGTAACTTTTTAGAGTTTAGAACATAGACATAAGTTTATGTATATACTCTAAATTTACATTTAAAGTAATGTTTTATGTTTCAGGTTTTCAACTATATCAGATAATATTTTAGAACCTTCATATAAACTTCCCAGCTTTTCTGGGTGTATGTAGCCTAGATCATGCAAGTAGGTATCAGAGAATCTCTCAGTTTTGAAGGCATCAGAACAGAGTTCCTGCCTCCTGTCATTGTGTAATTATTTATAAAGCTTTGGCCTTATTAACAATTAAAGCCAGTCAACCTTCTTTTTGAAATCTCTCCACTCAGTCTATTTTCATATGTTATAGAGCTCAGTATTTAAATCAGCAGCTTTTGAATCCTGCAGACCTCACCTGAATGGGTGCTCTACTGCTTTTTGATGCCATCTTCCCTTTCCCATTTCAGGAAGTGATGGGGAACCTCTTCCTGGTTATAGTCTGGTGAATAGGCTAGCAGCAGCATGGTTTAAGACAAATAAGGCAGTGTCTTAGCCTGAATTGTGAGCTTGACTGCTCTGTGTTCTTCAAACCTGGAAATTAAAATTGTATCTGAATAATAGACATAATAAAGAAGGGGAATGGGATGGCAATAAAAAGTAAATACAATTTTTATCTTTTGCAAAGTGCTACTAATATTTTTTTGGCTGTTTTCTCGCAAATTTGATTTCAAATGGTGGGCCTTGAAGATACAGGGCATACAATGTAATCCTATATATATGTCTACTCAGAAGTAAATTATACTAGATTAATAACGAAACGACCTCAAAACAGTAACGAAACAAATACAATATCGAAATACGAAGCATTTGCAAAACGTTTTTGAAAATTCGTTTTTTTAATAATTGCTCCAGAATGGTTCGTTATCGTTTTGTAATTGAAAAAATTAACGAATTATTAACGAATTACGAATTAACGAAACCGCCCAGCCCTAGTAAATATAGGATTGTTGCCTATATCTAGCAAGCAGACATCTGAAATGACCATTTGATTAAATGTCAGCATGTCAATGAATTGTTATCTTCCTTACTGTACACTTAGAGGTAAAAGCAGCCACACAGTGTCTGCTAGTTTTCACATCAAATGACAGTTTAAAATAATCTATTTTATGTTCTCACAATAATCCCCATTGTTTGTAAAGGGGTGGAGTGCATATTTCACTTTAAGTATAAATACAGAAAGGATCCAAGCCAGAAGGGATGATGAAACTGCAGTGCTAAGCCCATTGATTTGCTGTTTAATTCACTTCCAAGATTAAGTGCTTTTTGATTTAATGTGGCAAATACCAACCATCTGTATTAAATCACAGGAACCTTTTTGAACACCTTGTCCTGTCTAAAATAAAAGTACAGTAAGCTCTCCACTTTTTCAGGGGTTAGGGTTTAAGGGTCCCTGCAAAAGTGGGGAAAAATGAATAAAATAAAACATCTGTAGGAATCTCTAGGTCTTCCAGATCGGCTCTATGTTCAGTTTGTGCTAGATGTTAACCATAGAGTTGCCCAGGAAGGTTTGGAAGTTCCTGGAGAGAACATGTTAATCCAATCCATAAACAACCAGATCTGCAAATGTGAAACCTCCAAATGTGGAGGGTTGACTGTACAGTGTATTTACTATACTTACAATTAAAATTCTTTTGAGACTAATAGTGAGTTAGGTTGGCAGCTTATCACTGTATTAAAGACAAATGTAATATAAATTGACTTTTTAATATTAATGTATTTATTTTGTAATATATTTTTAGTTATTTGTTCTACATGCTTATTAAGGTTTACTAAGTAGTTTGCATGTATTATGACCTCTCATTATGCCTCCTTTATTTGTTCGATTCAAGTCTCCTTCTCCCCTGCCCTGAAGACTAGGTGATAGTGCAGAAGATTGTGGGTGTTCTGGTAAACATGTCCTAAAATGGCTCTGGAAGGTCTGAAAACACGATGAGGCATCCTTGTCTTCTAGAGGTCATTTGGGGGCAAAATTTGATACTTTCTATGGGAGAGGATTGTAATAGGGGCTGCAGTTCATAGTTGCTTACCCCTGCCCTGGAGAGCTTGGGGAGAGAGTTAAAACTAATATTTTGTCAGGGTGTGGAAAAATGAAGCCCTTTAAGATCCTTTGTGAAGGCTGTGCAATGCAAAAATATATATATTCATGTGCAGACTAGCCTTATTTAGTTTGGTGTTCAATATAGGACCTCATCCTTTGTCTTTTTTAGTGATGTTGTGGTTGCCATTAATAAAAATATTCATTGCTTATGTGAAATGTTGTTACATGTTGTTCTGAAAGAGTTTACTGTTTTGTTCTGGTTTGTTCCAAATCTTAATGCAGTCATCTGTGTTCTCTTGTTGATAAGAGTGTCCTTTTGTGTTTGTTTACCTTTCAGGTAAGCGCAGAGCACTGAAGCTGAATTTTGCAAACCCACCTTTCAAATCCACAGCACGATTTACTTTAAACCCCGGAGTTCCTTTTCAGAATCCACACATGTGAGTATAATGGCAGAATTTCCATCAGATGGAACAATTCTGAAGCATGAAAACAAAGAATTGTTTCATATATTGTGGGGAATTGGGGGAGGGGAGGCAGAGGGAGAGGCGGAAGGCTTGGGTTAAGTTATATTTAAACATACATTTTTCACATGTACTTTTGAAAGTTAGAAAAATAATAAATAATTTCACCCACAGCCTTAAGTTGAGAACTGTATGCATAAAAAACCCTGCTACTTACGATAAATTTGTGTTAGGTGGTGGTTATGTTGATAGCTATTTGCTACTTTTTAAGTTGGCCAAGTTCTTGTCCCTGCATATCCTTAGTGCTAAAATTGAGAAGACAATCAAAATGACAAAATTCAGGTTGCATGAAATGATTAGAAATTGATAAATTTTTCAGAAAATGTGTTGTTTATGGGCTTATATATAGATGTAGTGTAAAATAAAGGATAATCCAGTAGGACATTTGACATAACACAATCCTTTTTGAAAACCAAGCCTTGTGTCCTCAGATCCACCAATCTGAATTGATGGGTGACCACTCAGGCTCCAAGATTAATAAAATTATTTTATTAGCTCTTTGTGTTCTATGGTAAGATTTCAGAAGTCTAGCCAGTGAAGGTCCTGAAGACTTTTTTCCAGGTGCTTTTACTTCACTTTAACAGTATTGCCTTGTGTTCTATATTTACTGTGCCTTTGCTTTGCTGTATGTGCTGCTGCTTGCTCATGAAGCTTATAGATCTTTTTTCTTGTAAGTTCTCTCCTGCTTTCATTCCACAGCTAATTATTGATGGCTATAGGAAAGGTTTCCTGATGATTATGAGTGAACGCTAGAATGTATATGTTCTAACAGCTAGAAAAGGTGAACCTTTCATACAGATGTTTTTATAGGATCTCAGACTTCATATCCAAAAAGAGCAAAAGCATGGTTTCTCATCCTAGTACCACTTTTCATAAAGTGCCATGTGATTAGTTTTAGGATATTAGGATATTAATTTCCATTTTAGAATGCATGAAATCTTTATGCACTTGCTTCTCACTTCCTTTCTTTCAACAATAGTTTTTCACAGCTGATTTCCTTCAGGTTTTTTTAAAATTGTATTTTGGGGGTTTTTTTCCTCTAGGGAGACTCCCCCCTTCTGTTATCAACTTTCTACTTTCCTGCTATTCTCTATAGCTAAAATGTTCTCCCACTTTCGTTGTAAGAACTCTATATCTTTTTCAAACTTTGGAAACTCTATTGATAAAAATATTTCAAAAAAAAGTGATCTACGTCTTGATTATAAAATCCATCACTCACTTGTAGTGGTTTTCTTTCCTAGTGTCATTTTTTATCTGTTGACTTTCTGTATTGGATTTTTTCTAGATGGTAATAGCTTAGAATCTTTTTCCAAATAATAAAGCATCCAATTTCAAACACAGCAAGGTGCTGATAACATTATTTATTCTTGGAAATATTTTCATATAGTACTTGGAAGACAAAAGGGTTTTTGTGTGTGTCCTTTGGAGCTTTCCAAGAATTTTGTAAATTTGTGATTTTCTAGGCCAGGCATTGTTTAGTATAGAGAATAAATGTATTCTGTATATCATGCTGAACATTCTGTGACAATACAGAAGTAGTATACCTTTTAAGAATAAATTCAGATTTTCATTGCGTCTCATATGTTGAATAATCAGAAACCAGAGAACATATTTTATACATTTCAACCGCTTTTCTGGAATAATTTCTTTTTGCAATCCTATATGGCTAATGTGGCTTTCCTCTGCTTATATGTGTACAGATTACAATGAAGATTTCAAAGGTATAAACCCCTGTCATGCCACATGCCCCAGATCCATTCTTTCTTCAAATTAAAAAAGGATTTTCACATTCTTTTTGAAACACGTTATCTAGCCACCTCATCACTCGGGTTTTTTGGTCCCTCATTCCTCTTCAGCCACAGAGCCTGCTGAACGCACGTTGAGGCCCCACCCCATTGATGGCTGAAGTGGCAAGGAAACATCACAAGGAGCTTCCTCACCAACCATGGTGAGCCACACATCTTTTGGGTAGCTCTGACAGAGCTCCCCACAGTATTTGCCCCCCCCCCCCCCGGTCTGATGGGGGAAACAGCAACGCATGTTGCCGCACTTGCCYCATCTGAAAGGAGAAGGGACAGGGCACCAACCGTGCCTTGCTCCAATACCCCCTTTACTTACTTACTTACTTACTTACTTACTTACTTAGGCGATTCTTTGTTGTCTGGGTATGATGGCCCTACAAGTGTTGTGTCTTGGCTGTGGATATGTAGGTGGCCGTAGAGCCCTATTCTTGATCTGCATGTTCTTCCACAGTGAGGGCATCAGTTTCCAGGTGGAAGATGGTCCCGGTCAGAGTTGGCTTGACGCGCCTTCCTCTTGTCACGTTTTTGCTGGTGATTGTCAGTGAAACGGGAAAAATTACTTTGATAGCTTTTCCTTCTACGTTTCAAAAATGTATGGACATTTTGATTGATGTGTATATCCATGATGGTAATGTAGGAGGATGTCATTAGTGATGTTTGTGTTGCCCCCCAAAAATTAATTGCCTATTAGGTGTATTTTGTTTAGTTGACAAGTTTTGATCAGGGACTGGTCAGGCTGCAGTGAATTGTGCAGGTTAGAAATCACGACCTTTCTTATGTGTAGGATAAGAAAAGGACCTCTCTGCTTAAAGCATTTCATTCAAATATTGACTATTTCTGAATTTGACTGCTCTCAAACTGCATCTATGGAGCAACATGCAAAAGCATATAGTTGAGGTTTAAAGTGATTTCAGAAATGAAGATGTATTTAAAATGTAGTTTTTTAGATACTGTGTTTGGAAAGAAGACCTTCTTTTGACATTACTGCATATTTCCTTTTGCAAAATTTGTGCTTTGTTGCTTTTTTAATGATAAGAACACCTGGCTTGTATAGCGCCTGTATTTGATAGCTTTGTCTAAAACTTCACTTAATTCCAAGACAGGATTTTCCTTCTTTTTCTTTCTTGATGACTACTGGTACTTAGAAAGGATTTGTTTTTACATTCTTTATGTTTTTGTACTTGGGTTTAAGAATACTTCAATATAATGCAGATTATGCAGCTTTCCAAGTGTTGCTTTATTGCAGCAGCCATCAGCTCGATCCTGCACAGCCAGTGGTGAGACATGCTGAAAGTTATAGTTTATTAACACGTGGATAGCTGCATGATTTCCATCCCATTGTATTTTTGTTTTGGTCCTAGATGTGAAATGTGGCAAATATAGCAAGCAGATTTTCTTTTTAAAGTTAATCTGAAATTGTTATAGCCTAAGTTGGTGATTTAGCCTAAGTGTGTTTTAAGTCAGCTTAAGAAAGTTCTCTTGAATTAATAGTTGCATTGGATCTTAATATATGATTGTTTTTGAGTGAACAAAGATGGCCCAATCCAATATCTGAAATAGTATCCTGCTACATTTTGTGTTGCTTGTTTCACTATTTATCCTAAACTTTCACAAGTTGTTATTCTGTGTGCTGCTTTCTCATCTTTTGTGTCTCTGGATTGCTTTCAGTTTGGTTTTTGGATAGAGGCCAGATTGTTAACAGATTATTCTGAAAGTTTGTGGACATTTTAGATCAATATATAATTTTCCATATGTAGAAATTTGTTGTTTAACATTAGATACATAGTGTTAGAGTTTGTATAATGATGTAGAGAAACTCATAACTGTCTGAAAGAAGAGTGACAGCATTCATCTTTCAGCATTCATCTTCCATCTCCCTTTCCAGCACTCCAGCATTCATAACATTCCAGGATTCATCTTCCATCTCCCTTTCACCTATATAGTTTTCTTGGTACCATTGAAAGCTGCTACAGTGAATCGTAAGGGGTTTGTTATTTATTCAGTGTATTTTCAACTCTTTAGTAGAGATATTTTTCATTTCTTTGCTGCCAGATTGTGCAGGATCAAGCTTAAGGGTGTTGGCGCCAGGATAAGTCCACAAATGGAAACTGTAGCCAGTTTCCACACAGTGACAGACATGCTTGTTCCCTGCTGCAGCTCAGCTGTGTTATGCAATGAGTGCTACAGAGCCAAAATAATATGTACATGGCTTTTCTTGAAAATAAGGAGTCAGGTGGGGTTTTCTGAGGTCAACTTTTACCTAATTTAATGGGGCTAACATACTGAAATACAGTTTACAGGTTCTGATAGGTATTCGTTCTCAGAATTGGTCACATCTCGTCACAAAAGTAACAAATAAAATGTAAACAAACTTTAAAACTGATCAGCATTTTATTACATTTATGTTTGATCAAAACGAGCTATATTGAAATTTTGAGCACCAACATTTCCAAATTCCTGTTTTGCATGTTTTTTTCTTCCTTAGTGCTATAAAGGTGACAACAATTGGAGGAGGAGAGGGGGCCAAAAAGCAAAGATCTTACTTTTCAAAGTAGCACAAACCATCAGCTTTTCTTATTGTGTAAAAACCATTATCTTCTCTTCAGAAACAAGCATAATTGAAAATATCAAGGTGTAAGAGATGCTCTATATAGAATGATATGCCACTGCATTTAGAGTTTGCTTTCCTAAGATGTTCAGAATTTCCTAAAGTTCAGAATTGAGGAGTAAAACAAAATCTTTAATTAGACTTTGTTCAGGAAGTGTATAGCAATATCTTCAGAGTCAGAAGTAAACTCACTAAAATTCCAGAATTCTAGAATTGCTGCATTTATGTTGCGTCTGTGTCCATGACAGGTGTTCTAGTTTGTTTTATTTCACACTCTAGTTGACTATACTGAAACGAGAATGGATAGCCAAGATGAGAACAGATAAGAAGGATTATAGTATATCATTGGCGTGTTTATCTCAGTTGTCATTATAAGCTTTCTTATTATTTTATCCTTATTATTTCATGCCATGAGAGGTGGCATGAAAATGCATGTTGCTTTAGTCAGTGTGCTGTACCTCTGATGCTTGGTTGGATCATTAAGTGTCATATCTTTATCCATAATGGTGTCTTAGGTCTATACTGTAGAAGATATCTTCAACTCTTGAGTTATTTACTCATCTTACTTTAGAGATCTTGACCAGACTGAGAGATCAGATGAACTTTCCCCTGCTCTTCTTACTTAAAAACAGGATATTTGTTTGTTTGTTTTCAAAGAAAAAAAAATGCTAAGCAGCAAAATAAAAGCAACATAATCAATATCACTTTATGCTTGGTTAACAGGGGACACAATAGATTTTATATGTTATTTTGCATGTGCATAATAATGGTCTTTTCATGTTCATATTTGTGCAATTTTTTGTATTTGCCTGTCCAACTCTACATTAAAGGGGCAGTTTTGCTTAAGTTGGAGTAGGAGATTTCTTACCTGGAAATATTTGTGAAAGGTTCGGATCCAGAAAATCTTAGCTTTTCTTCAAGTAATTACAAAGCAGACAGTAAAAACTAGACCATAGCTCTTCCGGTTGTTCAGAAAAGGGTTTAATGCAGTTTACTTTAGAGAATAAGATAGTAGCTGTCACTCCAGATTGGTGGATCCAAGATACAAGCAGTAATTTTCAGGTAAGAAATTTTCCTTTTTTTCAAAGCTGTGTGATGAAACTGTAAGGTTGTATGCAGTGTAGCCATTTGTTCCATGGAGGACTGCTACAATAATTTGCCTATTTTAGTGAGCAATTTCAGCACTGGTAATTCAAACAACAAACGAAAGTATTACATTTGAAATTAAGATTCCTCTTAAATGAGTTCTTCTGGACATAAATCTTACAAACTTGAGCAAGGCTTAATTATAAGAAAGTTTATCTCAAATTGTAGCCTTCCACCAATTCCATGTAATGCACTGTCCTACTAATAGTATTTGTTAAAAGAGGCCTCAAAATTAACACCCACAATTGTAGTCTCTTGAAAGTTTTCAGCATGAAATGTTTCAGACTAATCATCGGCAAGGAAATGAGATAGTCACATGTTGTTGATTTTCAAAAAAGCAGTCTGTGTCCTTGATTGCTATGTGTGTATGTGTTTACTCTGTTATGTGATAACGGCATTGTGTTTTCCTGTCATTTTTACAACTCTTTTCCTGGCTGAAGTGATACTCAAGCAACAATGGGTAGTAATCACATTGCCCCGTTCACTTTCAAAAGGAGAGAAGCGGAGATGATCGTGAAACTTTCCAGCAGGCTACAGTAAGCGTAACTGTCTGTTAGCCCCATTGTCAGATATTTGCATAAAAGCCCCGCCCACTGCTATTAGCACAATAACGTACTGAAATTTATCATATTATGAGTAAAGATGCTGACAATGATTAAATATTATCAATATATATATATATATATGCACATATTTCCTTATTTTTTGTATGATGAAAATTTATAGTTGTGTTCATACCTGCAGTTCAAAATGTTCTGTTCTTATTGACTACCATGGGTATTAGAAAGGGAATGGAATATATTTAAATATTTGTATTTACCTTCTGGTGTGGTGTTAGTTTATCTACTTATAAGATTTTTGGATATAGTCCTATTGCTGAAGGTCTTCCAAACACCTTTGTCCTGGAAAATCTGTTTCAGGGCAAAGCTATAGCCATGCTTTACATGTTGATGCTAAATACTTAAGACGTAGACCTTTTCTTGTTAGAGTGGGATGACTACTGATAAACGTTTGCTGTGGACACGTGAGTAGAAAATAAGAATTCCATGATTGGAAATCCCTAAATATCTCAAGTTTATAAAACCGGACTTTTCTAGAGAAGTGTAAGACTAGGAGTAACAATCTTCCCAGTTCCTACCTACTGCAAATCTGAGGGGTCATAGGAAGGAGCCATGCAGAGGTGAAAAGCAGCCATAATTCAACATTCAGAGAACTTTAATGGTAACCAAACTAAGACAGCTTTTTCTTAATTACTCCTCTTATGGTATGCTGTTTGTTATTTATTAGATCAAATTAAATTTATCATCAATTTTATCATGTTAGTGAAAAAACTGTAACTTCCAAAATTGTGCCAGTGTCATTATACCAGTCAAAAGCATGATAGTGTTTGATAATGATCAAATTATTGGGCAGCAACAAAAATAGTGAATTAAATGCCTAACTCTCGTTTCAAGGATAAGATTAAACTAAGTCTATAAAAAATATGTATATTCAAAAAGGCTCTTAAATTCAAAATATTCAAAATATTAACCATGTACTTGTCATTTTATACCAACCACATTTACAAGAATGGAAAACAATAGATGTAGCATATATTGTGTTTAGTAATTCTGAGCCTTTAGTCGCATGTGCCTAGGAGTTGCCATAAAAGCTGATATTCATAACTATTACGTAAGATTTTGACCTGGATCTTCTTAGCACTTCAGCAATTTGTGTTAGAATGTGAAGTTTTTAAACATATTTACAACTCACCTTGAGAGATAGACAGCTTCTGATATACCACTTCCCCGCCTCCCCCAAGTTTGTGGGTGCTGTATCTATCTGGATAATTCAAGTGATGGGAACGTATGTTACTGAGTCAGTGAATAGAAATAATTCTATCCATGTTTTAAATTAACTCTCATCCAGAGTAGGCTTTTTATTTTAATGCTGTACTCCAGACATGACATTAATCTCCATAAAATGTCTAATAATAAAATAGAATTTTAAACATTTTTGCAGAGTGGAAGCTTATTGCAACCCTCGAATAAAAATAAGCCTGAACATAATGCTTTAAAAATGTATTAAGCTACTACCACAAACATTTAGAAAAGGAGGTCTTTCATCCTTTTTAAGATACTCTTTTGGATATCGTATAGGACAGAGGTGGTCAACTTTGGAAGACAGGAACACTACATTCCCCCCCCCCCCCCCCCCCCCCCAAAAAAAAATAACACCTTGGAGGACCACATCTGCTCCTGTGGGAAAGGTCCTCAGAATGATCCTCATTCCATCCATATTTTCGTTTACAATAAAGACCTTTGCTTGGGTTTACATTGGCCGAAAGGACCCACAAAATGAAGTTATGATTCTCCTCAAAGTACCCCTAGTAGACATTTTGTAGCATTTGGAGACAAAACAAACATTGTTTTAACCCCTAGAACTCCAAGATCACTCCTAAATGTGATAGAATGTCCTCCACACTCCCTATAATATATTTTTGGTGTCCAGGGGCAAAAAGAAGAAGAAAGAAATTTTGAATCCTGGAGGCCATAAAAATGTATTCCATGAGTCTCATCTCACCTATCCCTTCAATAGATATCTTACATCTTCCTGCTTCATATGTTACCCATACAATAGCCACAGAGCAGCGTTAATGCAGATCTACTAGTGGTATTAAAATATAACTTTGGGTACTCCTCCTGAACTAATACAAATGTCTTCAGAAAGGATGCCTGTATGTGAGCTATTCATACCTAAACTTTCTCCTTGAAAAGATGTTAATTTGTGGGTGTACACTGATGGCCTCTGTGGTCATAATACTAGCCCCAAGCCTTGTCATTGTATAGAATATATTTCTTAGCATTAGTATGATCTGTATTAATGTGGTTGATAGGTTAATGCCTTTTCATTTATTTCTCATTGTTTGCCTTGGAGATTGGAAGGGGTATATATTGCATGTTTTCATAGTTCAGTACTTGTAATATTTGACTCTTTATGTTGACACTCAGACCAATCTATATTGCAGCCTGTTTTAGTTTGAAGTACCCGCTACTATAAATGTCTTCTGCCAGTATAAATATTATATTATGCCATTATTGACAATCAAAAAAAGATGAAAACCAGACTGAGAAATGAATAGTTATAGAGGTTATGAATGTTGCTTGTAAAGGCAAACATCCTACTTCTTTTCCTACAGAAAAACAAATTTTGGCTGTTGGATTTTGATGGCTTTATTCATATTAAATTGTATTTGCAGATTTTCAATTGCTGATTCATCTTGAGCTTTTTGTCCTAGCACTCTGTGAAATATGGCAAATATTTTGGTAGTGTAAGCTGTTGCAAGCAGTGCAGGAATAGCTGACTTTCATATTCAGTGGCACTATTCCAACTCTACATTGTTACTTTGAAGTATTATGTTTGATTGGATTTCACTTATAGTTTCACTGTTTGCAAGTTATACTGTGGTACTTATTGTACAGTGTTCCCTCCCCACTTTGCGGTTTGCTTTATGCGGACCTGCCATATCGTGATACCTCCCCCCCCCCCCCCCCCCCCCGAGCCGCAGGAGTGGAAGGGGAGCCAGGCACTCCTCCTCACCACCTCTGGTGCTCCCTGCTCCTTCCTCAGAGGCCTTAGTCCAGCCTGGCAGCACCATCAACGGCGCCCAAGGGGCCTCCAAGGCCAGAGAAGCAGAGGTGGTGAGGAGAAGGCTTCGCCCACTTGGCAGCATCCTCCTTATCACCTGTACTCCTGCTGGCTTCGGAGGCCCCTTGGCCGCCGTTGATGGTGCTGCCAGGCTGGACTGAGGCCTAAGCTCAGCCTGGCAGCACTATCAACAGTGGCCAAGGGGTCTCCAAAGCCAGCAGGAGCACAGGCAGCGAGGAGGAGGAGGTCGCCGCCGAGTGGACGGAGCATCCCTATTTTGCAGATTTTCACTTACCATGGGGGCTCCTGGAACGAAACCCCTGCGATAAGTGAGGGAACACTGTATATAAAATTTTATTAGAAACCTGGAAGGAATTGAGACTTCTTTCTGTTATTGCCTATGAATTTGGAAGATAGATGTATTTAGAGTTGTTTTCCTCATTTAATTTACCTCCTAGTGTCCACTTACAGTACCAAAAAGATTTATAGTTGATATAGGTACCAGAGGTGATTTAGGGTTAGCTGTGTTTCTTATCTGTCAGGGCTGTAACGCTTTAGATCAAAGGTTCTCAAGCTGCTCCGTGGAGCCCTTTGAGCATCATGCGTGATAGTTAACGGCTCCGCATCACCATGCTCCTTTCCATCTCATCCTCCTTCCTCTTCTTAAGAAATGCAGGGAAATTAAAGTTTGGAGCTGCCGAAACATTGGCAGCAGCATCCCCTCGTGGCACAGACCCTTTCTCCCCACCTTCCTCACTGCCCAGGCTCTTTTTCTTGCCATCTAGACCCTCCCCACTGCCTTCTTTGCTTACAAAGCCCTATTTCCACTTCTCATGGGGTGTTTTATTGTGCTTTTCCTGCATGGCAGAAGAGAGTTGAACTGGATGGCCCCTACTATTATGATTAGGTTGCTGTGAATTTTCCAGGTTGTATGGCCATGTTCTAGAAGCACTCGCCCCTAGTGTTTCGCCCACATTTATGACAGGCATCCTCAGAGATTGTGAGGTCTGTTGGAAACTAGGCAAGTGGAGTTTATATATCTATGGAATGTCCAGGGTGGGAGAAAGAACTCTTGTCTGTTTGAGGCAAGTGTTAATGTTGCAATTGGCCAGGTTCCTGCCTGGGGGAATCCTTTGTTGGGAGGTGTTATCTGGCCCTGATTGTCTCCTGTCTGGAATTCCCCAGTTTTCTGATTGTTGTTCTTTATTTCCTGTCCAGATTTTAGAGTTTTGCTTAAGTTAGCTGGAAAAATGAAATAAATTCCGAAGTCCTCCTAGCAGACTGCAAGACAGGTTTTAGATGATCCTGGAGCTTAAAGTAGGTTATGAAAATGAAGTGTGATTAAAACATAAAGTAGACAGTGTTTTGTTTTGTTTTTTGCATTTAGATTCTAAGCTAATTTAAAGGCACTGCTGGAACTTAAAGGCAATAAATCTGTTATAGGTAAATGAGAGCATGGGTCTGACAACCAGTTTTAGTCAAAACTTCAGCTGCTACATTTTGAGCTTGTCCTGATTTCTGGGAAATTGTCAAACAGAGCCATGCGTAAGGCCCATTGCATTCCTGAATCACATGTCACTATGACCAGCCCTCCTGTCTCTTTACAGGGATGCAACTAATACACCAGCTGAAATGAGTGTAAAGTTCACTTAAGGGACACACGCGTTTTTCAAGTTCCCTTCATACAAGAGTGGCTGGTGGCTGTTTTCTTGTTATTTGGTCATTATTACTATTAGCTTCTCTAAGCAACTATAAAGAGCAAGGCTAGTAGGCTTAGGTATTTTGTCTCATACCAATGAAGATCCCATCTGTAGTCACAGAAATCTGAAAAGTACCCATAACAGCAAGGAGCAGCCAAAAGTGTTTGTACTAAATGTAGTATTCAGCTTTCAGGTGAAAGGCATAACTAAAATGTTTTATTCTCAAATTTATAATAGTCACATAAAAGAAATACATCATACTGAATATTATTACTCTCCCTATCCCAAATAATAAGAGACTTTACCATAGCTCTGCTTGGCAATTCTGTACAGAAACACTGGTAGAAAAGGCTTTTTTGCCATCACTGCCATGACAAATCTTACAACTAGTGTATTTATTTGTTTTAATCCTTTATTTCATTTGTTTTATTTCTATTTTTTCTTGTAGAAAGATCATGTTATGGTAAAATGTGGTGGTCAATTTGAAGAAATGGAATATTCCCAAGTGCTAAGACAGTGTGCATCTGTCTTTAGAACTGGGTTGTTAGTATAATCTTGTATAGTTTGAAGTTGTATTGGAAAATAAAATACCAAGAGTCATGGACAAGCACAGTTGGAAGCCACAGTCAGGTATAAGAACAAACTAGTTTGCCAGAAAAGATGTTCTATGAGAATATTGAATTCCCAGGGAAGAACATGGAAAATTTGAAAGAAAATACAACCCTCAAGAAAAAATAGAAAATTTGATGCTTTCTTTTAAAATGATGAATAAAAGTACACGAGACAAAGCGTTCTTATATTTACTCTCACCTTATTTCTAACAGCTATGTTGTAGGTAGAATTTGGGATTATGAGTCTCTTTGAGCTCCTTTTTTAGGGATACAAATGATTATGATGATGTTCAAACTTAACTGAAATCTGCAGCTGGTGGTTGTGTTTGATTTGGCCATGATTATTAGTTTTCAAAGGGTTTTCATTGGTCTTTGTGATTTAGGATATGGAAGGAGGAGCTTAAAATGCAGTATTTGAAATGTTTCCATAGTGTGTGCTGGGCAGCTGACAGTTTAATAGTCTGATTCTAAACCTGATTTGTTAAGTAGGTGCTAGTAAGTTTTGAAACTTGACGACTATTAAAATGCCAAGATTTCTAAGGCGGTGGCCATGTAGAATGGATTCATGTTTGTCCTGAGAGAAGTGCTGTGCTTACTGGAAAATAACACCAATGTGTGTGCTGCTTTATGCAAATCCACTTACCAACAAAATACAATAACATAAAACACATTTGACAATACTTTTAACAAAATGTAGAGGTATATTACATGCCTTCCCCAAGTGATAAGAAACAGCCTCTATCCTGTCTTCCTACCAAAGAAGTAGTTTGTCGGTGTCATTTAATGATAAAAAATATGCACCACAAGCTTTCACGATTCTTATTTCACCTGAAAATACTAGCCATGCATGCATTTTTCAAGGCAAAAAAAGGGATGGTACCCATCCTGAGTGTGCAGTCTGTATTTAGATTGTATTTAGATGATACTATCATTCTGCATTTTATAGGATTGTGCTAAGAATGTATCAACCACAACAGAAATGAAAACAAAATTGCTCCAAGGCACTGACTAAGCTTTTCATAATTGTTTAGCATATTGGTTTCACCTTCAGTGAACCTAATTCCAGCCTCCTTACATGTGCCCCCCTGTCTAACTCCTTCCTGGAGTTTGGTTTTTTCATTAGCCTTATATATACTTTATCTAAATGCTGATGATGGAAAAGTTTCAAACTATTTAAAATGTGGAAAAATTTCTTCCCAAATCTTTTGACAGAGAAAGACTGAGAACACACAGCATTGAATCATCGGGAAAGTTGAAGATTTCCCCTGAACAGCATTGGGACTTTACTGCAGAGGACCTGAAAGACCTTGGAGAAATTGGACGAGGCGCTTATGGTTCTGTCAACAAAATGGTCCACAAACCAAGTGGACAAATTATGGCTGTTAAAGTAGGTGATGCCCATAAATACATTTGCTCTTCTGACAGTATTAAAAAAACAGGATGGAGAATTTTATGTTCATCCATCTTAACAACCCAACAACTGTTCTTTGCTGCCCTCTTCCTCCCATCGTAAGGCCTAATTTAATTAACAGTACTGTGTTATTAAATAGGTAATCTGATATTAAATGTAAAATTTGAAGAGAATATTTTTAAATATGCTTGGCAAAAATTCAAACAAATACACATGAACATCAAATGACATGAGTGTATTGCAAAGTCATAGTTATATAGAATCTGATACTTTCCACTTCTAAGTTACTGGTTTAAATCCAGCTCCTGCGGATGGAAAGTGGGATAGGCAAAGATCCTTTATAGCATTGATTCTCAAAGTTGGCGTTATTGCCCCCTTGTGGGCGCTGCAACGATCGGGGGGGGGGGAGTAATGGCTACAGGTGCATTTGGGGGCGATCAGTAACTGTAAGGGGGCGGTAAAAGCATAAAAGAAAGAAGAGAAGATTTAGAAAAATTGATTTCCAGAAGGTAGACCAAATAAGTTTGGTAACCACTGCTTTATAGAATGAGTTCCTTGTTTTTTTCAGCTTAAGCCGTGATACTCTTGCATATATTTTCATAATCATAAGGTTTACAGTATAGAGGTGGAATTATGACTCCTTTCCCCCTCAAGTTGCTACACATGCACTCCTTGTTATGTCTGTAGTAGTGCTTCATTTCTGATACTTTATCTTTCACCAGCTCTATACATTCTTGGAAGTAATCCATTATTTCCCTTCACGCCCAAAATGTAATTTTCTGTTTTAAAAAAATTGCAGATAGCATTACAAGTTGTCTGAATTGATGAATTGATTAGCCATCTTTTATAGATGAATTGGGTTTTACATGTCACCTCCATCAGCAGGGGGGAAAATCCATTCTTTTTATAATCACGTGTACACGCACATACCTGATATTATATTGATTTATTGGTAATTAAGATTTCACCGGCCCTCCACTTTGACAAAGTTAGGGGCGTAGAAATCCTCATGGAAATGGAAAATCGCAAAGAAAGAAAATGTTATTTCTAACCTGAGAGAACATGTCTCTAGGAATCTCTAGCTCCTGTAGGGTGACTCTGGCCAACTTCTGCAGAGTAGGCCATAGACTCATGCTGGATGACCCAAAATTGTCTGTAGGAAGGAATATCTAGGGTCCCCAGTATAACTTTGTGATCAACTTCTGCCAAAGAGAAAACTTGTTAATCAACTCAATGAATCAACACCATATCTGCAAAAGTTAAAGCTGCAGATAGAGAGGGTGACTATAGTTAAGAAATTATGATGACCATTTTTTAAAAAGTAAAGATGGATTATGAAAAAGTTGCTAAATCAGAAGTGAATCTGGTCTCAACTCAGATGCTTGTAAGTATGTTCCCTTGATTTCCTGTCGTAGTCACTGTGAATCATACATTTGGTATTTGCGCTTGCGCAATACAGCTTTCGGAACCTTCTAGAAGAAACATTTCAAACCCGGCTAGGCCCGCCCCCCCCCCCCCCCCCCCCCCCCCGTCGAGTATAATGTATGAATTCACAGGTGACTACTCAGGAAACTACAGTTACAGGTAAGCAACTTATAAATACACAATCAATATGCTGCTGATCATTAGATAAAATAGTGGGCAAATATATGTAAAACCTTAATAATTTTTCATTGAAGTTTTATCTTAGTTCATCCGTGCAAATATCTGTGTACTCGATGGACATTATGTAGGGGAAAGCCAATGTAGTGTGTAGTTAAAATTTCTTCCTTTCCCAGAGCTTTTGAGCAGCACAATAATGGTCAGATACAAATTAGCCTGAGTCACAGTCTGGAGGAGCTTTCAATATAAAGACAAGGTCTATGACAGTTCAAAATCCAAACACACCAGGGGCCTCATGACCACCTAGGTCGTTAGGACATAGAGATAGCAACGTCTTCTGCTAAGCCAATGATACATCAGGAGTTTATCCCTTCCCAATTCAAGTGATATTGTGCTAGAACAAAGACATTGTGATAACTGAGAGGTTTTAAGCCTGAGCATCCAATCCAGATCTTAGCTACAGTGTCATATAAACACATTCTTGAAAAGTACTCCACTCATCCAAGAGAACTTTGGTGTGAAAGTACTTTTATTTCTAGTGGTTTGCTGAACCCATATCTCCTCTTGGGAGCTCGGTAGCCTCTCTATGTTCTTGTCCAGTTCAAAAGGCTGTCAGTTTCTTAAAGGAAAGTTTCAACTATCAGTTCTCCTAAGGTTCTCTGATCTCCTTGATCCGCCTTAAAGTCTTGTAACACTGGCTGACTTCCAAGAGGTCATTCTACGGTAAGGATTCTGCCAGCTAGAGCTATGGCTGTTTTCATGTCTATGGTAAATTATTTCAGTGTTGAGACAACAAAATAAAAAAGAGCTACTAAGAAATAAAACTGATTTCTACCAAATATCCAAGTTACTTTCAGTCTACTGGTGCTTGCTTCACATTTTGTATTTCCACTAAGGTTGGTTGCAGCAGACACAGGAAATGGGACTGGAATACTGTACACCCTTAAACAGGTCCCATGGAGCTGTATCCCTGTGTAGCAGATAGACACACACACCAATTTATCAGGCTATTGGTCATTTTAGGATTCATGTGCTTCATTCTTGGTTTTCCTTGATGGTTGTAGGCAACATGGGAGGCGGGTAACTGTTAGGTAAAGTGTAAAAAACATAATAATAAATACAAACAGAATACAACAAATGAAAAGTATTCAAGGTTGCAATACTATGACAAAATACTGCTACATACCTCACAGATTGCGTAACTCATGAGCTATAAAGTAAATAAAATAGCTCCGAGCTCACCACATTGTGTACATGGCTTCTGTGCTGTTGATTGGGAATGTATTGTTTTGCATATTTTGAAAGTATGCCTGATTTGGATATACAGCTATTCCAAGAATAGAGGGTTGGAGCATTGCATCCTAATTTCAACAGTTTTGAATCCCATTTTGGGAGAACAATGGGCTATAAATGCAGCTAAATAATATATATTGTGGAATTTGATTCTGGATGAATGAATGATACATTTATTGGGCCAACTCCAAAGCAATTCTGTAGTGGGGGAGTTTAAAGTATTTATCTTCTCAACAGTTAGAGTATAGGGATTTCTAGGATGAACATGCTGTTGCTATAGCAGTGATTAATTTTTGTGACACAAATGCTTTGGGACAAAGTACGTATCAAGGTATGTTGTGTGTGTTCAAGTAATTTAAGACTTAAGGGAAACCTAAGACTACCTATCACAGGGTTTTTGGCAAAAATTATTTACAGGAGATTTGTCTTGTTCTTCTGAGCTATCTGCTCAGTTGTAATGCTGTGATTTTTATGTGTGCCTGCCGCAATTCTTTAGCAATTTCCTCTTGTGAGTAAACAGTGCGGCAAGATAAGGGATTGTATTCTTATGAATGGTTGGTCATCAGTTAAGTTGTACAATATAGTGAAGATGAAAGTACAGTTTTAGTTTGTAGGTTTCAGTTGTATGATTGGTTATTAGTTCTGCACTCATAGTGATCAGGGGGTGTGACCTTAAAAAATACAACTGTCGACAGGGTCCTTCTGCACTGACACTACAATGAAACTCATAGCCAACTCAAGGCCACTGTGGCCACAAACCATACATCTGCAATGGACTCTGAGGCATGCATCTAAGGGTATACAAGATACTTAAGAAGTCACATGAAAGTCCAAGTTCAGCCAAAAAATGTGCTGCAGCAAATGCCAATTAGTCCCAGATTCAGGGCAAAATTGGGTCTGCAGAATGTATAGCTCATTGTAGATACCAGCCCCTTGCTGAAACACAGTAAAGAATCCAAATGGGTGCTTCTGAAAAACACCCCAAAGACATGGCTAGGAAGCAGAGGACTAATCGATATCCTAGGAGGGCAAATGGATTATCTCCACCCCTAACAATTACTTTCCCTTTTTTTCATCCCGTATGCCTCTGGTGCACTAATGGGCCCCTCTCTGGGAATGGGGGGGGGGGGACTTCAACGTGGTTTGAGGCCAGATTATGTGGTAAATGTCATCACCTTCCTGGCCTCAAACCAGATCCATGCATGGCAGTGTGATAACCCGTGCAGCAGAAATCAGCTCCTCCCTAACCAGGTTCAAACAGGATTGTAGTGTCAGTGTAGAAGTAGCCACACCAGGTAAAGAAAAATTGGGTTCTCTGTTAAAAGAAGAGAAAAGAGGTGTATCAGGGAGTAATGCTAGCATTAATATACATTACATAAAAGTAAACTTGATTAAAGATTTTGTGATATTTTGCTATAGGATCAGATATGTATTAAGTATCAAATAGTGTCACACTTTTGTTTAGCTTTGCAACCTTCGGTTTGTAAATTATAGCAGGTAAAGCTCTTCTAACTTTGGTTTCCCTGAAAATGTCTTTATATATGAATAAATTGAGCTGTATTCCCGTCCCCATAGTTGGTGACATAGCAAATTGTTTTTGCTTCTATTCATTGTGATATAAAACCATCAACACATCTGTATGAAATAATGTGATGTATGGAATAATATTATATTAGCGTTATAAAGTGGAGGTGTCCACTTCCCTCTTGTTTGGCTGCCACCAGCAGAACTCTGGGGCTTTTAGATAAGGGAAGCCAGAACCCCTCTGGCTGAGAATTCCAAAGGCTCACCACCCTAAACTTGCAAGACCCAGAATTCTGCAGGAAAAACCCAAGCAATAGGAAAACAGACGCCCCCACTTTAAAACTCTAATGTGATCACCCTTAGTCAAATCAGCATCCTCATCTCTATTGGGTGACATTTCTTTGCCAGGCTGCTCAATTATTTTTTATCATTATATTTTCAGTTTGCTTATTTACAGTATTACTGAAAGTTTTGCAAGAAATTGGTATGCACTCAGACAAAGAGGTTTTTATTATCTAAGGGGCGAGATTTATTTATTTATTTACTACATTTATATCCCACCCTTCTCAGCCCAGCAGGGGGACTCAGAGCGGCTCACAAAAGGCAGCAATTCGATGCCATACATACACATAAATACAACAAAATAAACATATTAATTAAAACTCCAAAAAAACAACACCAGTATTAAAACAATTATTACATATTGAAGAGATGAAATAGCGAAGTGATAAAAATGAATGTTACACATGCATAACTGCAGAGGGTGCTGCCAGCCAAGATAAGAACTGAAAACTTTCTTGTTTGGCACAACCACATACTTAGTACAAAAAACATTCCCCTCACTTGCAGGGGCAGCCAGTGCCTTCATTTTTATTATCTCTCAGACTTTTCCAAACTCTTTCCAGATTACACACACACTACTAAAGAAGAGATATCTAGATTATAGTTTACAACAAGGTTTAAAGGAAGATAATTAAAATGTATACATTTTACTTGTTTTTCTTAATGAGAAATATAGATATCCTGTGTTCTTGACTCTATAGAAGGAATTACTCAAGATACCTTGTATGTAACAAGTTTTTTCCCAGTTCTTTTAAAGGGACCCGTGATTAGAATATATAAGATTGCAAATTCAATGAAGTCTCAGCAGTTCACATTTCCACTACTGTGTTCAATGCTGCTGTGGCTTGTGGCTGACTTGATGCTCTCTTTCGTTAGTGTTGTATATAATGACCTCTGCACATCAACTGTAAAGAGGGGTCAACATTAGGACTGGCTAGCTGCATAATTGGCATTTTCACTGTATTTGGTTACTAACTTTATATCAATTGATGGATGCTGCTATTTCTTTTTCAGGTGACATGGAAATTAGAAACCAAGTAATTATGTCGTAAGAGAATATCTAATGAAACTATTCGCCAGGCATCACCATGCTACTATGTCTAGCATTTTACAACTAGTAATACCACCTTCATGTTTTGTTTCTATAATTGATTGTGTCTAATTGCTAATACCACCCTGAGTTGCCTTCGGGCTGATATGGGCGGGATAGAAATAATGTAAATAAATAAATAAATAAATAAATAAATAAATAAATAAATAAATAAATAGAAAGTGGTCAGCTTGATTAAACAACTGATTTGAAGACTGACAAGTTAAGATTTCCTTCTAGTAAAAAAATCTTAGGTTGATGCCATAAAAACCTATCTAGGGACGAGTTCTTGTCATTTCCTTAATTGATGATAGTATCTCTTCCTTTTATCATTTCAGAGAATTCGGTCAACGGTGGATGAAAAGGAACAGAAACAGCTTTTAATGGATCTAGACGTAGTTATGCGAAGCAGTGACTGCCCATATATTGTTCAGTTTTATGGAGCACTATTCAGAGAGGTAGGCACTTAGAAATAGTTCAGTTTGTAACAAATTATATTTAATACATTTCTGGATTGTTATGGGTAAAAAATGTATTAATTAAAGAGGCAGAATGTGGCATTGTCCTTGGTGCACTAGCTTTGATAACCAAGATGTTAGTGCAGAAAATGCTATTCATATAACATTAATTTTTTTAAAAGCTACGAAATACTCCACTTTCCCTATACTTACCTGCTTGAAAAGGTGATATTCTGTCCCTTCTGTCCCTCTATTGGTGTCCGTATGCAATACTAGGTAAGGATGCAAGAAAGGAGCTTCTCAGTATGGTACTGCTATTGCCAAATGCGGTTCTTCTGGAAATCCAATTGATGCCAGTGCTGGTTTGCTGTTTATCAAAACTTTGCTAACATAACTAACTTATTTCAAGATGTCTGTGAATGTTGTTTTCAGTATTAAATTATTTCATGTGTATTATCTTTCCTGCAAGTTGATTAAAATAAATTATGGAGCCAGAGTGCAGATCAAAAAGGGTGATTATGGTTTTCTGCTCTCCTCAGCTTTGCTTTTCAAGCTTTCTGCCTTTCACATTACAACTCTTTCCCCTTTTTGGAAAGATCTGGCAAACATAGTTCTTGTTCTCTTGTTCTTGTTCTCTCTGTGTCTCTCACTCACACATGCAGACATATACATTTTGTACTCATATCAACACCATGAGATAGTAGTTTAGACTGAAGCCCTGCTTTGGGATTACCTACCCTGGTATTTTCATCCTGAGAGTGACAATATGTAATATTTTACACTAATAGCCATTTGACAAAAGAGAAAGCAGAAAGTATTGTTATATGACAATTGTCCACCCAAAGTCATATACTAAATATTCTTCTTTCTCCATCTCAGAAAGGCAGGATTAGGAGCTATGTTTTGTGTAAAAGATGACCTTTCCAGCTTGCCCTTTCCATCACAACATAAAAAGATCTGTGTGCTCGTATATGTTTACATCAGTTTGACAACAACACTAATAAAACCCTTTTATTTTGGTTTTAGGGTGACTGTTGGATCTGTATGGAGCTCATGTCTACCTCGTTTGATAAATTTTACAAATATGTATATAGTGTATTAGATGACATTATTCCAGAAGAAATTCTAGGCAAAATCACTTTAGCTGTAAGTTTTCTTCCTGATTTATTGTTGCCCTTTTTGTGCACAATTCTGTTTTGCTTTCTTGATCCATGTTGTAGAAAGGAATGCATTTATTTTATTTAGTTTCCTTTAAAATGTAACTGCAATCCTGTAGTTTCATCTGGCCCACTGAAGTGTTCAGGAGACTTAAACAACCTTTTCTGTTGCCTTTTGCTTGTATTAACTACCTTGCAACATTTATTTATTTCCTGTATTTCTGTATCACCTCCCAATACAAAAGGGCCCCTGAACACATAAACCAGTTAAAAATGTTGTAAAGCACATTAAAGTACATTTCAAAAATCTTCTGAAAACAATCTAAAATGGTCCTAAAATCCAGTTGTGAGCAGTTGTTACAGCACTTTCAAATACTTAATGCCATGTGGACCAGGATTGTTTTGGCTTCCCACCACAAGCTTTAAAAAGGTCCACCCTAACTTCCTTGGCTACTAAATGTTTGAATGAATGTTTTACTATTTCTGCCTTATTAGTTTCCTAGGATGAATCTTGCTTAATTACTACTCTGAAAATAATTTCTATTATTTATTTTCTTCCTTAAACTGTTTTGCTTTTCTTTTAGACTGTGAAAGCACTAAACCACTTAAAAGAAAACTTGAAAATCATTCACAGAGGTAAGTTTTGCCTTTTCTGTAGAATAACACCTCTTCCTCTTAAAATTATAAGTGTTTTCACCCATTGTGGCTCTCTGTGGAATTGACTGGATAAATTGGATTTCCCCTTCTCCCCTAGACATGGTTCTCTGCTTTGGAGAATTGCTATTCTTCATGCAGATATTGAGAAGGTTTGACTCATTTCGATCCCAGTTTTGCTACCTGCTATCAAATTCACAATTTAGATTAATATTCTACCCCATTTTATCTAAATTGATATGTCAAAAGTAGCATCCAGTCACTGCTGAAATTTGCACTGTTTCTACTTTGGTGTGGCATAGTTTTAACTAACACTCTTCTGAAAATGTCTACATGGAAAGGAAAGTGAGGTCATGCTCTCTGTTAATTGACCACTTTAAAGGACAGAGTGACTTTGTAAAGAAGCAGTGAGTTTCCAAGCTGAGCCCCCTAAACTTTGAACAAGTATTTGGTTTGCAGAATTTATTTATTTATTTCTATCCCACCTTTCTCTGAGGTGCACAATATGTGAACAAACAACATCTGTAATAGAGATAATTATAGCAATATAAAATTATATTATAAAACCATGACATACATTATAAATAAACTGACAGAAACACTGTTTAAATATTCCAAGTTAAAACCCCATCTAAAAACCACTCCTTTCACTGTAGTCAAGTCCATTATCAAGTCCATTGCTGAAGGTCTACTATATACTCAGCACATTGCGTACGAAGATCTGTTGTTTGTCATGCTAATGATCTCCTTCACGGAAGGTCTGCTTCCATAGGAAGATTTTAACTTGATCTCTAAATGAAAGCAGGGAGGGATCCATTCTAACATCCTTAGAAAGGGAGTTCCAGAGCCACATGGCCACCACCGAAAAGGTCCTCTCTCTTGTTCTTGCCAATCTCACTTGAGATTATGGCGGAGCTGAGAGTCGGGCCTCTCCTGAGGATCTCAGGGCTTGAGTCGGTTCATAGGAGGAGATGCGGTCAGTTAAGTAGGCTGAGCCCAAACCATTTAGGGGTTTATAGGGTAATACCAGCACCTTAAGTTGTGCCCAGAAACAAACTGGAAGCTGGTGTAGTTGTTTTAACAGGGGAGTGGTTCTTTCCTTGTATCCAGCTCCTGTTAGCAATCTGGCAACTGATCTTGGAACCAGTTAAAGTTTCTGAACGCTCTTTTGGGGCAGCCCCACATAGAGTGCGTTACAGTAATCTAATTTGGATGTGACCAAAGCATGCACCACCATGGCCAAGTCAGGCTTCTCAAGGTACAGGCACAGTTGGCGAACAAACTTTAACTGCGCAAAGCCCCTCCCAGCCACTGCCAACACCTGGGCCTCCAGGGTCAGCACTGAATCCGGGAGGACCCCCAAACTGCGGACCTGTGACTTCAGGAGCAATGTGACCCCATCCAGCACAGGTTGCAACTGTTCAAGAATACATCTATCTGGTTTAGGATGGCATCCTTGATGTTTGGTGGAAAAGCGTAGTAGAGTTGGGTTTCATCTGAGTACAGATGGCACCAAACTCCAAAACTGGATTATCTCCTCCAGTGGTTTAATGTAGCATAGTGGTGGGGAGGGGTCAAGTGTTGCCTCCCATCAGAGGTAATTGCACAGTCTGGGAGCAGCCACCAAGGATGTCCTTTCACGTGTCGTCACCAGTTCTACTTGCAACAAGGTGGGACCTAAGAAAAATCTTGTCACCTGAAAAATTTAAAACTCAGGCAAAATTCTGCAGAAGGACCACAACTCTTTATATGAAGTAGCAATGGGAAAGAGACCCTATTTATTATCCAAAACCTTCTTTTATGAACTAAGTAATTTAGTCTTCTATATAATCATTTTGATATATTGATATACTTCCTGGTTCTCTCAAGACGGGACTGATATTAGTCAACATGCGAATTCATTGTGGTGCAGTTTGACTTCTGGCACTTTTGCTGGAAGGAAATAAAGCAAGATGGAAAAGGATATCATTCATCCAGCCTCACTCTTAAACAGTTTCTCAGTTTAAAATAATAGGATTGGGAGATCCAGTCACCAGTCTCTGGTAGAACTGACCCTGAAATCTAAGTGTAAAACATATAAAAGCAGTTGTTCTTACAATATGCTCTTGATGAAGGAATTGTAGTCCTATTGCTGTCTTCAGTTCTCATTTTCTCTCTTTTAGCTATGTAGCTTCCAGCTGTTTGAAAGCGAAGAACACTGTTTGCAGTTTACCTATTTAGATGTGTGTCTGCTTCTTCACACCCTTTGCAGATATTAAACCTTCCAATATTCTTCTGGACAGAAATGGAAATATTAAACTCTGTGATTTCGGTATCAGTGGACAACTTGTAGACTCTATTGCCAAAACCAGAGATGCGGGGTGCCGACCATACATGGCAGTAAGTGGGTTTTGAAAATTTACATGTGATGGAGGGAGGTGAGTGAGAAAGAGAATGAAATGTCAGGAGGAGAATGAAATGTCAGAGAATGTCAGGAGGAACGCTTTGGCTTCCTCGACCATGGCCTGCTTTTCCAGGAGGATGGCCTACTGGCAAGGGATGGGGTGCATCTCACACAAGTAGGAAAACACCTTTTTGCTCACAGACTCGCAAACCTCATTAGACGCACTTTAAACTAGGTCCACCGGGGGAGGGGGACAACAGCCTTGCGAACACTACTTTACCCATAATGTCTGGGAATCGCCAGAAGGCTAAACGGAGGGCTGCACAAACACAACAAGGACCAAGTACCAAAAGCACAATAATCCCAATTAAACAGCTCAAGGGAAGATCTCAGGGGTTCACATGTCTTTACACTAATGCACAGAGCATGGGAAATAAACAAGACGAACTCCAACTTTTAGCACAACACCACAAATATGATATCATAGGGATCACTGAAACCTGGTGGGATGACTCCTATCGCTGGAATGTAGATATCGAGGGGTATAACCTCTTTCACAGAAACCGAACAAAGGGGAGAGGAGGCGGAGTAGCCTTATATGTCAAAAACTCTTATGCTGCAGAAGAGATTCAAGACAGCAATCTGGGAAACCAGCTTGAAAGCATCTGGATAAGAATCAAGGGAACTGGGACTCAAAAAGATGTCATTGTAGGCGTCTACTACAGACCTCCAAGCCAGGAGGAAGAACTTGATGAAGTCTTCTGCCAACAGTTGACAAAACAGGCACAGAGAAGAGATGTAGTCATCATGGGCGATTTCAACTATCCTGATATTTGCTGGAAAACAAACTCGGCCAAGAGTACAAGGTCCAACAAATTCCTCGCTTGCCTTGCAGACAATTTCATGGTCCAGAAGGTAGAAGAGGCAACAAGGGGATTGGCTACTCTTGATCTCATCCTAACAAATGCGGAGGACCTGATCGATGCGGTCGAAGTGGTAGGATCCTTAGGGGCAAGTGACCATGTGCTCCTGCAATTTGAGGTACAAAGGAAGGCTGAAACTAAGACAAGTCAAACCCGCATTTTGGACGTTAGGAGAGCTGATTTCCAAAAAATGAAGGAAACGCTGAGCAGCATTCCGTGGACACAGATACTAAAAGACAAGGGAGTTACGGATGGATGGGAATTTCTCAAGAGTGAAATACTCAAGGCGCAATTGCAAACCGTGCCAACAAAGAGAAAAAATAGGACAAGTGCAAAGAAGCCAGAATGGATGTCCAAACAACTTCTAACTGTGCTAAGACACAAAAGAGACATGCACAAGAAGTGGAAAAAGGGAGAAATCACCAAAGAAGAATTCAAACAAATAGCCAACACCTGTAGGGAAAAGGTCCGCAAGGCTAAAGCACAAAACGAGCTCAGACTTGCCAGGGACATTAAAAACAATAAAAAGGGCTTCTATTCTTATGTCAGTAGAAAAAGGAAAAACAAGGAGGCGATAGGACCTCTTCGAGGAGAAGATGGGGCAATGCTGAGAGGGGATAGGGAAAAGGCAGAACTACTTAATGCCTTCTTTGCCTCGGTCTTCTCACAAAAAGAGAGTCTTCAACCTCAGCAAGATGGAGTGGATGAGGGATTTGAGGACATCCAACCCCAAATTGGGAAAGAAGTCGTCCAGGAATACCTGGCCGCTCTTAATGAGTTCAAGTCCCCAGGGCCAGATCAACTACACCCCAGAGTATTGAAGGAACTAGCGGAAGTCATTTCGGAACCATTGGCAACCATCTTTGAGAGTTCTTGGAGAACGGGAGAAGTTCCAGCAGATTGGAGGAGGGCCAATGTGGTCCCAATCTTCAAGGGAAAAAAGGATGACCCAAACAACTACCGTCCGGTCAGCCTCACGTCGATACCGGGCAAGATTCTGGAAAAGATTGTTAAGGAAGCGGTCTGCAAACACTTAGAAACAAATGCAGTCATCGCTAATAGTCAACATGGATTTATCAAAAACAAGTCATGCCAGACTAATCTGATCTCTTTTTCGATAGAGTTACAAGCTGGTAGATGCGGGGAATGCCGTGGATGTAGCGTACCTGGATTTCAGTAAGGCCTTCGACAAGGTCCCCCATGACCTTCTGGCAAGGAAACTAGTCCAATGTGGGCTAGGCAAAACTACAGTGAGGTGGATCTGTAATTGGTTAAGTGGACGAACACAGAGAGTGCTCACTAATGCTTCCTCTTCATCTTGGAAAGAAGTGACAAGTGGAGTGCCGCAGGGTTCCCCCTGGGCCCGGTCCTGTTCAACATCTTTATTAATTACTTAGATGAAGGGCTAGAAGGCATGATCATCAAGTTTGCAGACGACACCAAATTGGGAGGGATAGCCAATAGTCCAGAGGACAGGAGCAGAATTCAAAACGATCTTGACAGATTAGAGAGATGGGCCAAAACTAACAAAATGAAGTTCAACAGTGACAAATGCAAGATACTCCACTTTGGCAGGAAAAAATGAAATGCAAAGATACAAAATGGGGGATGCCTGGCTCGAGAGCAGTACGTGTGAAAAGATCTTGGAGTCCTCGTGGACAACAAGTTAAACATGAGCCAACAATGTGATGTGGTGGCAAAAAAAGCCAATGGGATTTTGGCCTGCATCAATAGGAGCATAGTGTCTAGGTCCAAGGAAGTAACCCTACCCCTCTATTCTGCTTTGGTTAGACCACACCTGGAATATTGTGTCCAATTCTGGGCACCACAATTCAAGAGAGATATTGACAAGCTGGAATGTGTCCAGAGGAGGCCGACTAAAATGATCAAGGGTCTGGAGAACAAGCCCTATGAGGAGCGGCTTAAGGAGCTGGGCATGTTTAGCCTGAAGAAGAGAAGGCTGAGAGGTGATATGATAGCCATGTATAAATATGTGAGAGGAAGCCACAGGGAGGAGGGAGCAAGCTTGTTTTCTGCTTCCTTGGAGACTAGGACGCGGAACAATGGCTTCAAACTACAAGAGAGGAGATTCCATCTGAACATTAGGAAGAACTTACTGACTGTGAGAGCCGTTCAGCAGTGGAACTCTCTGCCCCGGAGTGTGGTGGAGGCTCCTTCTTTGGAAGCTTTTAAACAGAGGCTGGATGGCCATTTGTCAGGGGTGATTTGAATGCAATATTCCTGCTTCTTGGCAGGGGGTTGGACTGGATGGCCCATGAGGTCTCTTCCAACTCTTTGATTCTATGATTCTATGAAATCATTTGCTTCAGTCTCCCTGTTGTGCAGAAAAGTGAAATATTCAGGACTAGCTTTCTAAACCAACCTACAGCTTGGTAACATTAAGTGTAGATACAAACCAATAATCTTCTTTGTGAGATTAGATGGTATCCTTGGTCTTCAAGTTAGGAACCCAACAGCCTTACAGTTTGTTCATCATGATGTCTTATCTTGTACATGGGACAAATGCAAGGGATAGAGCAGGCTCTCTTACTGCTTGAAGCAGGGACAGAAGTGCTTCTGGTATCATCCTCAATCATCCTCATCATTTCTTACTACTATTGTTTCTTCATCTGCCCTCCCCTTTCTCTTTCCTGATACCCTCCTTCCTGCTCTGTTTTGCCTTGCTACCTGTTGCCATTTGAGAAAATCAAGGCACAAACTCACTGGCAGTGCTGTACCCAGGACTGCTTGGGTCTCAGATACCAAACTCTGAGAGAGTATTTTTGTAGCCCAGTACTCTAATCAGGTGGTCTTGGAGATTGCATGTATCAGCAGCACCCATATGCTTGCATTGTATTACCACTGGTGTAACTATCCTGGTGTAGCGCATAACTACAAAAGAAGAAATGATGTGAGCAGAATGACCATGAAGGAAGAAACAAGGTATTGGGGAAATAGAGCGTAGGAAGCTGGCAGATTTTTCTTTGCCTTCCGTTGTCATTAATACACAACTCTGGAAAGAGGAGAACTAATTTAGTGCGCTGATTGAATTTTAGTCACTATTCCCCAGGGCCCCCTACCTGCATGATCTAATTCCTTAGATCAAGGCCATTGGTTCTGTCCTGGCTCTAGAGAGGGAGGCTCTCCAAATCAGCATCAAGGTGAGGCAAAGGGAACAGTATAATCCTGACACACCTTTATCTGAAGCAGGCACTCCTCTTTGCCTACCAAACTGGATGTATAAATATTACCTGTTGGAAAATACAACATATTCATAAACTGCCTTTTATGGCAGAGTTTTTTCAGTGCCGCATCCAATTATAAAACTAACAATAAAAACAAAGATAACATTGTAGGAATATATGAAATGCAATACAGCCAATAGAAAGGCCATAGAGCAGTCGTAGCCAATGCAGTGCTATGGTGCATTGGCTGTGTTGGTGGTGGGAAATACAAGACTTTCCAGATTTTCTTGGACTGTTAGCCATCAGTGTTTCTAACCATTGGCTGTGTTGTGGAACTATGGGGACATGCTTAGCAATTACGTTACGGTAGGGTGGAGGAGAAAGGCTGGGCATTTCTTTCCATGTGTGATTTCTTAGGGACTACGAATCATGTTTTTTGTGAATCAGTTTTGTGTAACAGAGGGGATTTTGAAATGCTTGAGAAACTGGAGTATGCATGTGAGAAAGCACCCAGCTTTTTCCCCCTGTAGTTGTATGGCTTTATTGGCGAAAAATCATCCCCGCTCCTCTGAGCACTGGCATTTTGATGGTTGTTTTATAAGAGAAGTTATTAAGATCCTTTGTCCCCATCCTAGAAAGAAAATAATCACAGATGTATCAAGATTGGTTTGTATAATCCACAAAGAGCCCAGAATATGGGCCACACAGCTGATTCCAGAACCATATCTCCTCAGCTGTAAGTCACCCCTATGGATAAGTCAAGGGCAGATTTGGGACCCAATATTTCATCAATTGCTATGACCTATGGCTTAGTCAAGGATATGCTAGGGGCCAGTAATATTCAAATAATTAATTCTCTTTTAAATATGCTTTGAGGAAATATACTTAAGAAGAGCTAACAAGAATGACAGAATCTGTTTATTTAAGGACTTACAATTGGGGTTGGGGGAGGAGAGAAATTGCATTGCTGATCTTAAAATGTCTATAGCTGTACAAATACAGATGAAGGACTATAAATGAAATAACCGAATGGGAGTATGCACTGGATTAAAGTGTGGGATGATAAGAGCAAGTAAAGCAACCTGCCTTTACGAGGGCCCCATTACAAAAAGCAGTGTTAAGAATAGAGGCATGAAGGCCCTCTTGACATGGCAAGGTGTGAAAGTAGTCCTCCCCTCCTTATTCCTCCCTTGTCCAAACTGGCATGGAAGATTTGTCAGTTACTGATTCTGCAAGGGTGCTTCGCTTGCGACTGAGGAAGAAGAGGTGGAAGTGTAAGGCACTGAGGTGGCCCTCGTCACTCTAGTTGTTGTTACTTCACTCCATCTCAACCTCCCAAATTAGTAAGAAGCACATTGTGAATTGAGCCATCACAGTCATCTGTTTCAGCATTAACTCGTGGAAATCAATCAGTCAGTCAATCAAATCATTTATTTCGGTCATAGACTAGCACAAGAAATAATAATCACATTTTCATACAAACTTGGTACATTTAGTACATTTAAAATATAAATATAAATACTGAAGCACAATAGGGGGTGAGGATAAGTCAACCCACATTTTTAAATTAAATGTTTATACAACTGTTCTCAACTTATAGTTGATTATATAGAGTTGCAAAAGGGGCTTACATTTCTTGCTCTTTGTTCTCTTTCCTACATATGTGACTGTTTTTTGTTGTCTTATTTTTAGCCAGAAAGGATAGACCCCAGTGCATCCAGGCAAGGTTACGATGTCCGCTCTGATGTCTGGAGCTTAGGAATTACATTGGTGAGTATAAGGCATTAAGCACGAAATTCAGAAATCTGAGGACAAAGAGTCTGTGGACATCTATGCTTGCACAGCTTGCCTGAATGCTAGGCATGCTCCTGCTTTTTTTGTATGGCAATGTTTTAGTTTCCTTGTATCCAGTATGTGAGCAGTGAGTTTGCTCTCCCACCAGTGGGGCAACCATGCTGCTGAACCTGGTCAAAAGAAACAAACGTATTCTAAAGTAGGGGATTTTGCCCTTTGTTCTTCTTTCCCTTTTCACTGATACAAGATACACTTAGTCATCCTAGCGTCAGCTTCCAATCCTGGTATATATTGTAGAGCAGCATAGAGGATTTCTGTGAAAAGAAGGATGGTAGATACAGCTAGCTGACCTGGCATTTCTCGTTGGACACACACATGTATGTGCATGTTTATCTCAGGCAGAGTGTCAAACTCATTTTCATGTAGGGCCATATCAGAATTATTGTTGCTTTTAAAGGGCCATAATTACACACTTGAAGCCAACCACAATGGCTTCAGTTCTATGAATGCAAATCTGTTTTACTTATTATTTTAAGTTGCATGTTCCACATGACAATTACATGAATATCTAATGATGTTTTGAAAAATGAAAAGTAATAAATGAAAAACTAACCAGTAAAAATTGAATCAAAACAATAATGATTTCCAGAGACTTAAGGAAAAATATAGATTTGGAAAACTGGGAATACCTATGGAAAAAAGGATTTAAATTTTCAATAGCTGGGCCCATTAGAGAAAATATGTACACAATTTTCTATAGACGTTATATAACTCCTGAATTAATGGTTAAATTGGATAAAACCCAATGGGGGGAATTTTGTAGATGCGAAATACAGAAAGGCACCTTCTTCCATATTTAGTGGACCTGTAAGGAGGTAAAAAAATTGGGGAAAAGGTTCCAAAAGAAAGTAATAAAATGATTTCTAAAAAGGTTAAGAAAAACCCAGAAATTTGCCTATTGAGTTTGTTTCAAGAGAGAATTGGTAAAGAAGATGTAGAAATTTGCCAATATAGTTCTGTGGCAGCGAGAATTACAATAGCAAAGTCTTGAACGGGGGGAAAAGAACTACTTATTAAGGATTGAAAAAGAAAATTAGTTGAGTATATTCAAATGGCCAAGCTCTCCAGTGGCATAAGGGAAGGAAACAATGAAGAGTTCGCTAGAAAACTGAGATTTGTCTTTGGGTATTTAAAAAAATAAGACAAAAATATATTTTAAAATGGTCACACAGGAAATTTATTAGTGTAATAATAATAGATTTTTGTTAGATTCTAGTTTCATATGTTGAATTTTGTAGATTGTATTCTTTTTTCACATAACACAATAAAAAATAACAAACAAACCAACAAAAACCAAGCCAGAACGTCTCAATATATTCTTTTAAAGTATGCCTATGAGAATTCACTTCTTCATCAGTTTTCTGGAAAGGCTGTGAAGTGTGCGCACTTCTCGTGAACAGTCTTTTGATTAGTCAAACCCCATATTATTCCTGTCTCTTTTGCATAGTATGAGCTGGCTACCGGACGGTTCCCCTATCCTAAATGGAATAGTGTATTTGATCAACTGACACAAGTAGTCAAAGGAGACCCACCGCAGCTGAGTAATTCAGATGAACGGGAGTTCTCCCACAGTTTTATAAACTTTGTCAACTTGTGGTGAGTATGCCTCATTCCAGGGCTGTAGTCAGATTTGTGGTTCAGGCTGGGATCCCCCTTCCCCCAAATTGCTGGGTGTTTCGCATGTGGTTCAGGCAGTGATTCTAGAGAATGTCTGTTGTGTTGGATGAAGCACATGTTTCCTCTCAGTAGGACAATGGAACAGCAAGTATCTGCAAACTGGTTGACATGGTATCATTCAGAAAATACTTGTAACACTTGCATCCATCCCTAAGACATAAGTCACTCTGGGGAGCTTAAATTATAGCTTACATTCTACTTAGAACAAGCCTAAATTTAAAAGGCAAGGAGTTTATAATTGACAAGCTCAGAAAAGACTGCAAAAATAGAGCTGAATAAAATCCTGTCTTCTGATAAAGTAGCGAGTGAGGGGCCGCTACACGTTCTATGTAGGTGGTTGGGAAAGAGGTTTAGGTCTGTCCTGGCCAAGAATATGGTGAAAATTTGCTCTTGTCTTTCTATATCATGATTCGGATGCATGATGGGTCCTGTTGAAATAATCAAAATCTGGTTAAACTAATGTTATGGACACTTCTTATTTTTGTGTGAACTGGGAGATGAGCCAGTTCACTATAGCTTCTTAATGCAGTCAAAACAGCAACTATAATTAATGTCTAGTGCCAAGGTAGAAGAAACAGCTTTTCATTATGGCTTCTTATTCAAACTTGTGTGATGCCACTAAGCATAGTTTCCTCATTTTGCTGTGGGGGGACATATGGTTAATTGCAGCTTCCTGATTTCTTTCCCATTTTGCAGAGAATATGCAAGAGACTCAATCCTGTCTTGGCTTACGTTGTGTTTTTTTAAAGCTACTGTGTGGATTTGCTTCTGTACATTTGCTGACTGAGGTTGTAATGACTTGTCAATGTAGTTAGTGAGCTTACTTTTGGTTTTGTTAAATGTACATGGACTTTTGAGTTTATCTTTATCCTATCCTTTGATCATGAAAGTCTCAGGGTAGCAAAAAGATAAATATTTATAAGCAATTTGAAAAATCCACATTATAGCTTTAAAGGCTAAAACTGTGTGCAAGTTTACAAGTAAATTGGGCCCCCAAGCTCTTTGAGTTGATGTTGTATAAAATAATTCCCGGTTATTTCAGCTAATTTATTTCCTAAAGGGGGGAAGTTTAGGATTGGGTTTATGGGTCCAGAGAGCAACTTGTAACATCCTCTCATATCTTTGTGTCCTTTATTTGTTTATTTTTACTATGTTGGCAGAATAAACTGGGGCATCCAGAGATTTTCTTTGAAATTTCTCTTTATAATAGATAATATTTATTTCTGCACTGGCCTTGTACAGAAAAAGCAAATATGACATTTTTAAGACGCTATGGCAGATACAGAAAATATTAAAATTAGCAAAAAAAGAAAAAAATAAGAAATTTAAATTTTACTCAGAGCTTAATTGTATTGGCCTATAAACTTAAGAATGATCTGAAAGTATAAATGACTAGGCATATGCATCAATATAAATTGAGCAGAAGTATAATTAGCCAAAAATATGCCTAACTGATCCTATTCTATGTAATTCCTTTCTACCTATTTTTCTTAACTTTTTCATCTTTTAAAATAATACTTTAAAATCTAATTTAAAAGAAACACTTGAGAATTTATACTAAATTTAGCATGCAAGTAATCTATACAGAAGTGCCAGAAAAGTCTTTGTAGACATTGATATACCAGTGTATTATGAAGTATCATTACAAGGATCTGAAAATTTACTTTTCTGGTAGTTTCTACCATTTACTTCCAGCTGTTTTTCAGTGATTGATTTTCTCTCTCACTGTCTTTCTGATATTTTTAGCCTTACAAAGGATGAGTCCAAACGGCCAAAGTATAAGGAGCTTTTGGTGAGTACTCATTCTGAAAAGTTTCGGATTATGATGTTAGAGTTTCTGTCCTCCTCACATCTTACATGACTCATCATATTATATAATTATTCTTTAATTAATCTGTAAGTTTTATGTACTGATGATTATAAAAAGGAAGCACTGCAATAGTCCTGCTTTGCGGAGTACGAGCTGCAAGTATTAGGCTGAGTCTATCTTGCCATATTGGTGTTTATTATTTTCAAAGTTGCACTACAATGGTTCTGTATATAGAAAAATTGTTTTGTTGCACCCACGATAGAAATACATGGCATCTTTAATCTCTGCAGTCTGTTTTGATTGTAGGATATATTTGCTTCACCCTAATTCTCTCGCAAAGTGTATTAGCAATGACTGTGCAGTGTCCTTACTCAAATTATATCAGTTGTTAGATCTTTTGAACAGTGCTTCACAAGACAAGACAATAAATTGAAACCTCTCAATGCTGTAATCTGGTTTCTGCAAAGCAAAATGCAGGAAACTTTATTCTGGATACTTATATTTTAACACTGGATATTAGAATAATAGAATCGTGGAGTTGGAAGAGTTGGCCACCCATTCCATCCCTATTCGACCATGGAAGAAAAGCACAAAGTATCCCTCACAGATGGCCATCCAGCCTCTACTTAAAAACCTCACTTGTAGGAGAATCCACCACACTCCCAGGCAGTATGTTCCACTGCCAAACAGCTCTTGCCATTAGGAAGTTTATTGGGGGCACTAAGAATTCTACAATTGGTACTCAGTACTTGAAATGGCAGTATGAATATGTTTATAGAAATTGAATTTGGCACTTAAATTTCTGCCACTTCCTGTTGCTTGTAGCTGCTACATATAGTGGTCTAGTAATTCCTGAACCCATCCATGTATCTGCATGCTGATTGATGTGAATGACTTTTGTGGTGGGCCATATTAGTAATTAATTCAGTTGAGCAGCTCATTGATTGCAAGGAATTAGCTCCACAAAAGAACTGAGGATAACAATTTTCTGTAAAAATGCATCAAAAAATGTAATGGTTTTGTGATTTCTTCTATTTCCAGAAACATCCCTTCATCCTAATGTATGAGGAGCGAACGGTGGATGTTGCGTGCTACGTTTGTAAAATCCTAGATCAAATGCCAGCAACTCCCAGCTCTCCCATGTATGTCGATTGATACTGCTGCTACATCAAAACTCTTGGGCAAAGTGCTGAGAGAAAGCAAAATGTACAGAACCTTCACCCCCCATATTGCAGTGTTTTAATGCTCGTCCAGACACCATGTGCAATAATGTTGGTGTTTTTCTTCCATTCTGTCTGTATATTATTATCACTTAAAAAGTGCATCCATGTAATATCTGATCACACACAGTGTTAGTGTCAGTCAAAGAGAGACGTCATTTTGCTCTTTTTGTGGACATATTCATGAAATGTGGAAATAATAACCTTTTATTTGTTGACCATGATTGGATAAGACCTAGAAGTTGATTTCTAGATTCAGAGACTTCTCAGCAGCTACGGGAATGATTTTCTTCTCTCAAACTCTTCCAGTTATTACAGATAACTTAAAAGAAAGGAAGTTAGGCATTGGTCTGTCTGATTCTGAACATAAAGAAACTCTGCCTGGGAAAAGGAGAACTTGTGCAGCCAAATGAGCTACTTTTAACTTCTGGTGCCAGAAAAAGGCAAACAGGGGATAATATATAAATATATATAAATATATATATATTTTCTTCACGAAGTGCAATAGATTGATTGATTTGAAGTTCTGTTGTTTTTCAGTCACAGTCAGTGTTTTAAAGACAGTGCGGTTCAGCAGAACTTCTATGTTTTTGGGGAGGCGGGGGCAGAAGATGTGATCATGTAAAATGAACTATGTCATTACCAAAAAATATAAATAAATAAAACAAAAGACATGCATTGAAAGAGGCTAACAGTGAAAACTTGTGAGAGATGGAAAATATTGTATTCTTTCATTTTCCAAGTAAGCCATTCTTTGATAGAACTAGGTGTCCTGTAAATTGTTACCTGGTGAGATAAGACTTTGACCTGAGGAAATATTAAACTACTCAATTGAATTTAACTGGCTTATGACCACTGATTTCTAATTATGTAATGCTTGTTAGCTGGCTAAACTTTTACATTTCAAAATGCACTGTACAGCCTGAAGTTGTTAAGAACCATGTTACATTATTCATAAATATTTGTAATTCACTTCCACTAAATGTTCTCCAAATGCATAATCTAGACTCTTCACAGAGCTCTCAGTGTGCTTTGGATCTGTGCTTCATATTCTGATAACTGCTATCAGATCAAATACGCTTTCCGATCCTCTTCAGTTGAATAGTTTGAGTCCCAAAATGATTATAAGGATGCTAAATATGTTGAATATAAATTATGGTTGAATTAAGACCCTCTGTAAACATTCATTTTTTAATCAGAGGAGTTGCCAAACAAAATAATAAATGAGAAGTGAAATGTTAAATTATTCAAAAGTATTTGTCCAAAAGAAAAAACTGTAGAAATTGTATTGCCAAATCAAGGAGGAAAATCTTTAGACAATTATTAGTATTTGGGTCACTCAGTGAAAAATTAACTTGCGACAGAAGGAAGTGGACATAGACTTGGAATAGCCCAAAGCTCCTTGGAATGCCATAATCTTACATATAAGACTATGTAGGACTTGGTCAGTAAAACAAGTGACAAGACATCATTTCTGCAGCCAGGTAACTCGCATCTAGCTTATCGATTGGTTGATAGGCTCTTATAGGAAAACTATTGATGCAATATGGTCAACATCAAATGACAGGATGGGAACGAGTTATGAGTTTCCCAACAGTGTGATTCTTCCTTGTAATCGGGGTGGGCATCTAGCCTAGTCTGGAGACTTCCAGCCTGCACATGCCAAACTCATGGTGGTTATTCATTGTCTCTGCCAAAAAAAACCTGGATTGTTTCGATAGCTGTATCTTCTTTCCCATTCAACTCTAATGTATTTTGGTAGAGCACTTTCATTAAGTCAACCAGGAAATGGAGTTAGCTTCCGATTAAGATTCAATGGACGACTAAGACAAAGATGGACAATTCTAGCATCATCATAGACTCTTTAAGGGTGCAACATTTATATTACAGTGTATGTTTATAAAGATGTATAGTGTTCAGAAGCTGTGAAAATAGTGTAAGAACTGTACATTGTGAGCTCTGGTTAATTTTTTTTCTTGTACCATAGAAAAATGTATAAAAGTTTATTGAGAAGCTGATGTGCAGGGATATTGCCTTATCATCTGTAAGTAAAATGGAGTTTGACAACTTGATGACTTCTAAGAGCTTCCAAATATTTTATTTTTCCTGATTTCATTTCTTTCTCTTCCATCTGAAATAATATGCATGGTATCAGAAGTGTTAACCATTCTATTTTTCCCTGCCTTCAGGCCAGTCATATTGAATTGAGGATGTGATTATGACCTGGCTATTAGGTCAGACACATGATGGGGAGATCAATAAATGCAAACTGAAATCTAAAAATGCCAGCTTCCTCTGCTCCACTAACACCACCAGTAGTGTCTTGCCCCTCTGAACCAATGTGCGGTTTGGCTTTTAGCCTAATCCTCATCACTGTGACAATTGAGCCCTAGCAATGTCACCTGAATGGTCCAGCGAAATCTACAAGTTGAGATTAATGCGTCCACATTCCATAATTGTGTGTGTCCTTTGGGCAACTATGTCTGCTGACGTAACCCAAAGTTGTACAGCAACTCCTAGCATCTTTTGTTGTTGGCTGTTCTGGCTAGGACTGCTGAAGGCTGCGGTACAACATGTAGAGGGACTCGCTTTGCTCAGCCTTTCATTGAATCCAACATAATTTATGTCTTCAGCACTGTCCTGCAGCTTTATTTAATAGTTGTTGCATTTCTCATGTTTGCATTTTGTGTTACTGATGTTTGATTTCAACAAAATTATTTAAACATTTTGACCTAATTTCCATAGTCTCCGTTTATTTTAGCAGTCTTTTCCATTTTTGTTTTTACAGATTTCCACTTCTGTGGAAGTGGGAATGAGTGAGGGAGAGGAAATCTCATTTTCTGGTTCTCCTTTAATATCTAGACAAGAAGCTGATCTGCCTTGATCTGAATCTGAGTCTTTGTTCTGGCAAAAAGCTTACTGGACAAGACACTGTGACTAGCCTACTATGCAAAATGATTTACAAAAGTGAAAGGAAAGAGATTGTAATCCACCCTGGGCCCTTGGGGTAAGGTGCTGAAGACATTTCAATCAACATGGGTGTTGGATACTGAAATAAAATTGCTATTGTTAAACTTAACATGTGATAAAATAACAGCAAAACAAGAGCTGAGTGTGACATCACCGATTCTTTTAATAGGTATTGGCAGTGTTGGTCACAGAGGTAAGGCAGTGTATTTATTTACAGTATTATTTTGAGTGTTCAGTTGACAGCAGCCCTTTAAATAAGAATAATCATCAAAGCCCTGTACCACACGACAGTGTTGCACCTAAAACTATTCAGGATTCAAGTGCTTTTTAAAAAGTCTCAATGGAATGACTTCTAATTCTGCATATTAACATTAAAAAGGAAAGGAAAATAAGCACGTGAAGGATTGTTCTAGTCTATCAGTGCACTGTGAACATTTGTACAAAAGAAAAAAAATCATGCTTTAAATAGTGATATTACAAACACTTTAACCTTTTTATACAACATGCAGCAATATTAAAGCCAGCCATTATACTTAAACCTCAGGAGTTTAGTCACCTTACTGATTCTGGAATTTCACACACAGGTCTGTAGAGAGAACTCTCCTGCTTTTCAGTCAAAAATGTATTTATGAGCACAGTCCTTTGTGACAAGTCTTGATTTCAACAAACGTTTGTTCCAGTAACACAAGTTTTAAATATGCTCGTTTGCTAAATATTTTTGTATGATATTTGGTTTGCAATTTGGCTTTTTACAAAGCTTCATGAAATAACTGGATCCATAGGAAGCAGCCACAAAGTGAACCTCCACCCCACCAGTGCTAACAGGCTTTTCGAAATTGCAGTGCACAGGGATTTACACAAGAAACAAAGGTAATAGCTGGGAATGGCTAAGACGACAAGATATCCAACTAACTTAGAAGAACAAGCTCCTCCTTTTCACCCTGGATTCACAGCTGTTCTCTAGAGGACCTTCCATGTGGTTGTCATTCAGCTCCACTTGCAGCATGTGGGGCCTGGCAGGACATCTAGAAAAGAGCAATGGCCACTTGGCTAAGGCACTAAAGCGTGTGTGTCTTGAGTCTTGGGCTGTGTGGCTATGTTACAGTACTGTGAATGGGAAGAGTGGAAATATGTTTAAGGTGACTTCAGTAAGACTGCTTTGGTTAATACTGATCTCAGACACGAATGTGTGGAAGGAATGACACCGTGACAGTGACAGCATCCAACTTGAAAAAGAAGTAAGGCACCATTTTAGGCAAAAAGAAGAAATTATTTAATTAGCATTATGTACTGGACTACTGTTGGCCATCTGAGGTCCATTCTGCTTTGACCTGCTATGCTAGAACATGTATAAATGATGCCGCAGGATACTACACTAGTGGTTAACTGCCGAATAGGCAGAGTTTGTTCAAAGACTTTTATATGATATCAAACTGCTACTGCTATTCTTCTGGTTCCGTCATCTTCTGTCAGCAGAAAACTATTGAGAAAGAACAAAAGTCTAGCTGCCAGCCACAGGTATATATTGCCTGAGGACTATTGCTTTTTAAGGGCATTGGCTTTGACACACATTCTTTGGCACACTATTACTTTGTTTTCCCTCCAACTAGCTTTTAATTTGTGCTTAAAAGTACTTCCTTTGCTAATTAAAAAGAACCCAATGCATTTACACAGCCATGCTTAAATGAAAAGCCATTTTAAAACAAATATTGAAAGATTCTTTCAAAAATCTGTATTGCTTTTCATTTGAGTCATTTTTTAAAAGTATCATAAAACTTTAAAAAAAATTGTTTTAAACCTTCAAATTCCCTGACCAAGTTGCAGCACTTTAAAGTGCTTGAATAAGTTTTTAATAGTATCAGAAAGTGAGGTATTACGTTTGGTGAAACGCTTTGATTGCCCATCTATTCCACTGCTCCGTAGACTGGGTCCCGCCCCCAAATGGGGTCCTCTTAAGCTTAGTATTGGGGTCCCCAATATTTTGCCAAAAGTAAAAGTTTTCTGAATATCACCAAGTAGCTGTTTTATACCACATTTACAAAAAATTGTTGTGCAGTTAAAGTATTGCAGCCACATGGTGGCGTTCAATGGACTGCAGAAGATGCTTCAGCTGTACTTCATAAAAAGGAAAATGTTTAGGAAGCCTTGCAAATCCTGGTTTGTTATCATTAAATGTTTTCTTTTTATACCTACTTTATATACCTATATACCTGGGTCACATAACATTTTCTCATGTGGAAAGGGGTCCTGAGTGGAAAAGGTTAAGAAGCCCTGTTTTACTCTGTGAATAGTTTATAGGCCATACTGCATGGGATGTGATTTTGCCTTGGAGTTTTGTTACTTTTTCTGGCCAGATGGTGCAGGTTTTCTAACATGGAAGTCCTGATGGACCATCTTTGGCAACTGCCTGCTTATTGCTCCTGGTCTGCAAATATCTTCAGAAACAAAAGATTTTGCCATTTTTGTTCCATTAGTCACCTCTGCTTAACAAGCAAAAAGAAAGAAAACCTCAGAAGAATTTGTGGGTTGTTGTAGGTTTTTTGGGTTGTATGGCCATGTTCAGAAGAATTTCCTACTAGTAAATTCTATAGAACTTAGTAGGACTAGTTTAAGAATAGAAATACATGGGATTACAGTACATAGATGTCGGTTTCAGTAGGTACAATTTGTTTTTAAAAACCGATGTGTTAAGAGGCAATATCCTAGTGTGTGTTTGTGTTTAAGACAGCTATGGTTTTTGAGGTATCCTTGAGACTTTTAAGCCTGTCTTATGGCATTACAGAAAGAGCTGATTCCTTGATTTTGTTAAAATAAGCCACTTCACATTTCTTTTTAAAGGCACAATCTCCCAAGTTTTATATGAGTATGGCAGCACTTTTGGCCATGAAAACTATACAAATAACGTTTAAAGTATCTGGATTTTTTGCTTCACTGCTTCCATCAATCTTGCACTCGAATGGGACTATTGAAAAAGATTAATCTTTTCTCCTAAACAAAGCCTATTCCTGACTTCTTAGAGCCAGGAATAGTGCATCTAGGCTACTGGGAAAAGTCAAAAGCCACGTGTTTTGTTGGGGAGAAAGATGTTTTGAAAAGGCAAGAATGAAAGGTACACAGGGAAAAGTGAAAAACTAATGGTAAATCAGGGAGAATTATTTACATGGCTAATAAACATTTGTGTATAGGCAAACTGTAGTTAGTAGGCTAACAAACCTCTGTGTTGGGAATAAATAAATCCAAGTTATATTCTAAGTTGATACAAGAAATATATAAAGTACATCATCACAAAAATATATGGCAACTCTAGTTAATTTGGAGGACCAACTTAATTGGTTCTCCAAATTAATTGATTAGAAAATTTTAAAGTTATAAGTAATTGGTTTCTAGTTTATTATTTATACATGTACGTATTAATGTTTAAACTAGCGTGTTTCATTATTATTAAGACATATTTAGTACCAAGTTGTTAATAAAATTACTTTTATATTGTAATGATCTATAAATAATATTCTAGAAAGAATCGCAAATTAAATTAAATTATTTAATAACTAGTTTTCTTAATAGAAAAACCCAGAGGAAACTTGATCTCTTTTTAAAAAGTTGTAGTTCATAAACTACATAAGGAAGGCTGAGCGAAGGAAGATAGATGCTTTTGAACTGTGGTGTTGGAGGAAATTTCTGAGTGCCTTGGACCGCGGGAAGTTCAAACCAGTCCATACTCCAGGAAATAATGCCCAAATGCTTACTGGATGGAAGAATATTAAAGGCAAAGATAAAGTACTTTGGCCACATAATGAGAAGACAGGGAAGCTTGGAGAAGATAGTGATACTGGGGAAAATGGAAGGAAAAAGGAAGAAGGACCAAAGGCAAGATGGATGGATGTTATCCTTGAAGTGACTGGCTTGACCTTAAAGGAGCTGGGGGTGGCAATGGCCAACAGAGAGCTCTGGTGTGGGCTCGTTGGAAGTGACTGAACGAATAAATAACAATAACAACCATCCATAAACTGGAGAAGTAAGGAATAACGTGATAATATGGATTAAAGCAGAGAAACAGAAAAATAATAGAAATATGTAAAGATAAATTCTTAACTTTTAAATACTGAAATCTGTGCAAGGAATGTGGGAAGAAACAAGAAATTTGATTCAAGATTCTCCATACAGGAAAAAGTACAATAGATGTTTTTGAAATTAACCAGGCTATCAGAACTTGTTTCTACACTGTCTAAACAAATGAATGGTTTGAAGAGTTGGGTAGCCCTTTCAAGATAACATCACCTATGGACTTTCAACTGTGCAGAGTGGTTCTGTCTCTTTTTCTTAATAGATCAATTATGTATTGGTTCAAATTTCAGATAGTATCTTGCACTGCATATTTATTCCTGGTTAATATTTTCATTAAAATGAAACTGTTACCAAAATTTAAACTGACTCAGAGCAAGAATTAAAGTTGCCTTTGATGCCTATTTTTAGAGACAAAATTTATATGACATAATCCAGAATTTAATCCTGGGAACAAGAAATTAAAATTCTATAGCTGTGCAAATAGCATCACGTGCTATTCAAATGCTTCTCTGGCTGAATTGCTGAAATGTATAGAGAATTGAGTAACAGACCAGATTATAAGTATTTCACTAAAACTTAGATGCATATTTTTAAAAATCTAAGCAAAAAGTTATCTGAAGATTAAAATGGCCTTTCCAATTGATGGTGGTGCAACTCTTGATCTTTAATATTCCGTGTTAAGGCTAACAGAATTATTTTGGGAGTTATAGAATTAATTTTTGTAAAAAAAAAAAACACTGAAGGGATAGTAGAATGTCTGAAAACAATGAACCCATTACCTGATTTGACATCACCTGACTTTGGCATATATTTGGAAGAACAGTACTATGGAGGTAGAAAAGGAAGTCTCTTTGGCCAGGAAACTGCCATTTTCAAGACTCAGTGGCAAGGATAGAAACTGCTGGTGGTGGAGGGAAAACAAGTCCACCTGCTTGAAGTCAAGTACGTTTTCCTTCCTTTGTGGGGACCTGCCTGACCCCACACCTATTTATTTATTTATTTATTTATTTATTTATTTATTTATTAAAACTTTTATATCCCGATCTTCTCAACCTCCGTAAAGGGACTCAGACCGGCTTTCAGCAAGGATTCAATGCTAATAGTACAATCTTTCAATGCTGATAGTACAATGGACAGATCTCCAAGCATAGAACTTCCATCTCTTTCAGTCTTCCCTTCTTATCCATATCAATGGTGGTCCATTCCATGCTCCTAGCAAAGATTCATGGTTGGTGTTGCAAGTGGCTCTAGACATTGTCAATACCCATGAGCAAAGGCTCATTAAATTGACATTAAAGGCACTTTTATGGACATGTACTAGAGAAAAGAGATAATGTAAAACTAACAGTATTGTAGATATATGGAATGCCAGGAACCCTTATATAATTCCCCAATCCATCTGCTTTGGTATCTTACACCTTTAACTTAGAAAAAATAAAGATGCTTCTAGCAGTACTCATGCAGCTGGACTTGGTATAATATACATTCCATTATTTGATTGAAGAATAACAATGCTTAAGAGTATAAGAAACATGAGGAAATATTTTCATATTTTCAAAAATAATAGGTCAAAACATACCAAACATCTCACCTACATCAGCCCAGCAAAGCTAACTCCTACTTCCTCCCATGGCTATCATGAGTTGGAAGTGACATGCAATCTACTATTTAAATGGCCGTCCTCTTGCCCTGGTAGGATTGTAGGGGGGTTTTAAAGGGTTTTTTTTTTTTTGCGTTGCTGAGGGAATTGCCCTATAGTAATGAATTAAGTGAATCAAATTGTTGAAGAATTTTAGCTAATTGGTGTCTCCCACCCTGACTCCCTCAATCCTGATTTAATTGGCAGTAGCTACTGTGAGCAATGGGAGTCTATTCTCCTCCTGATCAGGATGCATGAGACTGACGTTCCCACCTCCTCTCCCTCCAGTGATCTTGGATGTAACAGTCAAAAACAAGATCACTGCCAAAATTTGTACTCCTACCACAAATTGCTTGCAGGAAGAAAATGGGAATCTTAACCTGCTGCAAATTGATTGACAGGAGAATAGACCTCCCATTGCTCACAGTAGCAGCTGCCTGGTAAGTCAGGACTTCTATGATTCCTGTGTATTCCCTACAAAAATGAAAATAAAGATATTGAGAACACGGGTCAGTTGTGCACATGCAACTCCAGATTACAGATTCATAACTGCAATTCTGAACTCCGTCAATAGTGCCAAAAGAACAGACCTTTTTCATATGCCATTGGCAGCAAGAATAATATACGAAAGATGAAGAAAATGAAAGATGTCTCTCAAAAAATGGTATGTTAAACATTGGGAGTTAGATAAATTGAATAAAATTACTTGGTGTGCACACATAAAACAATGGGAACCAAATCGAAATAGATTTTTCTGGAATAATCATACTTTCTTAATATTCATAAGGAATGATCATGGTCAAAATATCAAACAAAATATTTCAGTATTGATGGAATTTTGCTAGTTATTGCAAAGTTGCATGTTTCTATATTTTTAGTTTAGTAACATGTTTCTATATTTTTAGTTTAGTTAATTAAAGATGTGAACAGTGTACTTAGTAAAGGAAATGAAATTTCATGAGGTCTTGATCCACCTCCCTCCGGTTTCCAATCTACTTTCTAATTTCTGTACTCCTTCACTTTTTCTCTGGATTTTTTTCCAATACCAAAAAAGGTTATTCTGTTTTAGTTTTCTTCCAACAGCTTTTGAAAATAGGAAAACAAAGGGCAGGATTAAGAAAATATTCAGAAACCTTAGAGCAAGAACTGAAGTAAAGGCATGCACCCCAACCTGTGGCCCTCCATATATTTGGGTCAGCTTGTCCAATAGTCAGGAATTCTGGGAACTGAAGTCCAAAACATCAAGAGAACCACAGGCTGAGTAGACCTGGTCTACTCTGTTGCAGGATATGCTATTGCTGTTATTATTGCTGCTGAATTTCAAAAGGTTGAGTATCTGCCTCTCTTCCTGAAATGACGGAGGGAAAGGAGCAGTCCATCAATAGAGGCATGGATGCTGGTGACAGGCTGCTATTGTGAGTTGTGTGATGCCCAGCCTTGGCCCTGAAAGTCATTTGAGCTGTGGCAAAGCTACTAAGAGCTTGGCAGTTGCTGGTCTGATAGTCCTTAGAAAGCTTTTTAAATGGATGCTAATAAAAAGTGATGGTTCCCAGATGGTGATGGTTCCCAACACAAGGGATGAAATTGTTGGATAGACAAAGCAATAGGGCAATATAGAACAACAACTTGGTAATGGCTACCATGTAGGACAGGGATAATACTGACAGGTACATACCAAATAAACTAGTGCAGAGATATTCTTCCTTGGAAGAGATTTAGAAGTCACCTATGTTTGCTGGAAATTGTCAGTGAAAAGGAGGAGAAAAATTTCATGCTAAGGGTGCAGAACTGGTTTGGTTTGGTTTAGGTTTAGGTATGTGGGGACAATTCTTTGGTGAAACCATTTATCATGCTCTGGGAAAAGTGACTCCAGTTTCTTTTCCCTCAATGACACCAGAGCTCTTATAACCCCTCAAATGGGATCTTTTTTGGTAGTTGGCTGCATTCCTATTCATAAAGGTTATTCAGTTCACCACTGTTGTAGGTGCAGATCCATGGTGCTGTTCAAGTTGAGATCAGTAACATCTAAGAAATCAATGTTGAAGATGCTTGGCCCTGTGGTGGTGAGGGAACCAAAACCATTGGCTGAGCTCGGTGGAGTAAGGTCCAGCCATTCCATTGTTTCCCAAGGAGACTCTGTGAAGCTCATGTGCAAAGCTGATCCTTCACCAGAAGAAGGAGACAACTGAGTCTCCATGGGGGAGAGGGGAGTTGGCAGGATCTCATGGGGTGTCAGGAGGTCCTCTGCAGCTTTGCTAGAAAATCCTTCTAACACCCCTTCAAAGTGAGGTTCCTCACCACCCACCTTCAAGAGGGGCATTTCACTCGATCGGCCCAGAGGACTGTGGGAATTCAATAAGATTTCCAGATGACTATCATTGCTTCCAGAGCAGTGTTCAAAAGGAAGCTGACTTGAGGCACCTTGTTCAAACGAAGCAGATGCCTTGAGTAAGGAGGATGTTCCAGGGGTCCCTGAAGACACAGTTATTTGAGGCACCTTCTGAAGGCAAGGACGGTCTTCCCTGGCATTTGCAGGCATTTCTGTTTGCAAACAAAACATGACAGATCAAGACTAGATCAAAGACTGTAACTTCTATGCTAAATATTAGACACAGCAAGTTTATCCCCACCTTCTGCAGCAGGGATAAGGGACACTAGAACGGCCAATATACCTACCCTAAAGTATGAAGCAAAACACACTGTGAGTTTGCTACTGGTATGGAGGAACATCCCACTGGTTTCAGATGGAGAAACCTTTATATGAAGCCAGGTCAAAATAGCACAGTGTATGCTCACAGAAATATGTGGGCTGCAGAAGATGGGGCAAGAGCTGTCAATTGAAATTTCTATGAAAAGAAAGCTTTCATAATTGGTAGTCAAGGAACAAACAGTGCAAGAGCTGATATGAAAGGATAACAGGAAATAATATCTGCAAGAATTTATCACAAAGTGTGTGTATGTGTGCAAATGTGTGCATGAGTGCACAGCAAGGGCTTGTTAAAGTATTGTTACATTAAGGGACTTTGGCTGGACAGGGTGAGGAATAGAGGGTGTTGGACAAAATGGACATTCGTGAGAATAACAGTATTGTTTCATTTACCTTGTAGTCAACTAGTTTTTAGATTTTATTTTTTCCTAGTCTTCTATTATGCCATGTTTTTTTATTGTTGGTTGTTGCAGTGGGAAAGTTTTTTTTATTTTGCTTATTATTTACTGATTTGCATATTATTAATCTTAAATAATCTCACGCAACCTCTGAGAGGCAGTGGGGCAAATAAAAATGATTTCTTCTTTTGATTGCTAAAAGTAGTTGGAATCCCATTCAGTGCCAGTAGAGCATATACCTCCACCAGTTTGTTATTGTTGGCCCTCCCCTTTTGCTCAGCTTGAGGTGCTTGAATGCATCTCCACAACCCACCAGTGGTCAAGGAGGAGGAGGTCTCCAGGTATGACCTGGTTGCAGTTTTGCAGCCAGAAAAAAGGAAGAACTGTTGCTAACTCAGATCTCCAGTCTATTTGCTGGAGGATCAGGAAAATGGCCTCAACCAGATGGTGTCTAGAAGCCTCCTGTTCTCCAGCCACAAATTGTGCCCCAGCACTTCAACCTACACTTATGAACCAGAGCATAGTGGACGTAGATTATGCAAGGAAGTACCAGATACCTTTGGCAATGGCAAAAAAGTACATATGCCGCTGTTATGAGCGATTCTATCAGCACGTGTCATGTGCAGCACTCCCTCTCAAGTTATCTGATGTTGGGGGCCAGCAATTATTTATTTTCTCAATGTACCAGCAGCTGACACCATATTTAGGTGCCACTGGCCACCATTGTTTATTTATTTTATGAAAACTCACCAGGGACCAGGCTTATGGACTGGCTTTTGAGAAGCACTAATCTACAATACTCCAGACAATATCTCATAGTAGCTATGTCTTAAATGCATTAAGGAAACTATACTCTTTTGAGTCTAGAACAAACCTTTGTTTCATATCACAGTGGCAAATGGACTAGTTCAAAAACTGAGCATATGGCTCCCCACTATTGTTTCCTCTGACCAACTACTATAGAGCAAATTCTCCAAAATTGCCATGTCAGGCAATGAGGAAATGAGGTAATGTAGCTATAAGTTACCATCTTTGTAGAGAGGAGGGACACAGTCTCCTCTATGGACGGGAAAATGCTGGAATCAAGTTTTCCTTCAATTAGAATTTAACTTCTTAATGTGTGAGCATCACCTACCTCCAGTTTCGATAAGCACATCCAACAGCTCATCCATTTGCTGACTTCGGGTCAACTGCTGCAACAAGAAATAAAACAAGAATTTATATATAAAGTGGTCACTGGAACTACTTGATGCCAAACTCCACAAATTCCAAGTCAGTGAAATACCTGGTTTTCAGGAGAAAACTGAACACTTGGGAACAAACTAATAATTCATTCCCTGCAATTAACCCTTAACTCACTTCCTTTCTCACAACATCATTTCCTCAGAAATATGTGCCTCAGCAATCATATTTGGAAACTAAACACATTTATAACTCCCGAACAATCAATTGCCAAAGAAAGCATATAGGTCAGGAAGTGCTTATGACAAATATCTTTTCAGTTCTTGAGGGGGCACTCTGGCACTTGGGATAAATGTGTTATCTACTTTGATTTTTGGAGCCATGCAGAAAATGGAGCAGCTGCAGAATAAAGAGCAACACAGAGTAATACTATAAAGCAAATTTCATTTCGCAAAATGCCTGAGTAGGTTTAGATGCATATAATTGTGTGGGTAAATATTGCAAATATACCATATTATGTAACATCTTGATTCAAAAAAGTCTCATAATATACATGTCCTTCCACAACTGGAAATATCAGATTCTACTTCACTCAACTATTTTACCTAGTCCTGGTCATGTTAACTTAAAATAGGAATCAAGAACATTTAGTGGTAATTCTTTGGATAGGATGGTAACCTTTTATAACAGCTTTTTTTTAATGAACAAAACTCTTCTAAGTGTGATCTAGTGCTATAATCCACCCTAGAAGGTAGCCTGTGAATTGTATGGAGCCTCTATCCATCCACTTCTGTGGCCCTGAAGCCCTTGACCTTAATCCTGGAAAAACGGAGTGACTGTGCTTTTCAGGCAGTGCATCAGAAATAATGTTGTGTAACTTTTGGTCATGGTAAAATGTTGCATCCAATGGGTAAATAAACCCCTGCCCCTTCACAGTCACCCACTTTGGTTTTAATCAAGGATGAGGAGCCTCTTTCAAGCCCTGGCTGAATATTATTTTAGAACAGTTACACTGACAAAATTCAAATGGTAGCAAAAATGTAAGAGAAAAACTACCATCATATTGTAATTTAAAGCTCTTACTGTCAAGAATGAAGCCTTTCAAGAGTTATGGTGGTGGGTAGGTGAATGAAGGAAAAACGTCAAGGAGTGGTGCCATAAGAATGAGATGTGGCCATGTAAGGTAAAGATAAAGGTTTCCTCCTGATAAGTCCAGTCATGTCCAACTCTGGGGGCTGGTGCTCATCTCTGTTTCTAAGATGAAGAGCTGGCGTTGTCTGTAGACACCTCCAAGGTCATGTGGACAGCATGATTGTATGGAGCGCCGTTACATTCCTGTCGGAGCAGTAGCTATTGATCTACTCACATTTGCATGTTTTCTAACTGCTAGGTTGGCAGAAGCTGGGGCTGACAGTGGAAGCTCACACCACTCCCAGGATTTGAACCTGTGACCTTTCGGTCAACAAGTTTGGCAGCTCAGTGGTTCAACCCACTGCACCACCAGGGGCTCCCATGTGGGGGCCCCTAAAAGAGCAAGATTTAACCCCAGGAGCTCATGACCCTCATTATTTGTTCACATGGTTACTCATTGGAGGAACAGAATGCCCAAGACCCTTGTTTTGCCAGGGATTACTGACACTCACTTCCTCTTCTGCAACTTCTGGACAAATCTAAGGTTGAGCGCATTTCCTTTTGTACAGTTTTTCTAATCCACTTGACTGTGGAAACACTCGTTCCATAATAGCAGATGCAGCTTTCATGCCTGGTAGACATCTTTTGGGTTAACTCATGGAACATACAACAGGCTAAAATTCTATGAATGACTTTGCTCCCTAACACTGTCACAAAACAATACACCACCAAGTCCAACCCAGCAGAACACAGATGTTTACCTGTTTCACAGCATCAGCATATGGAGGTGGCTGCTTTCCCTCTGGGAGGGGAATGCTTGACTTACAAAAGCTGGGGGACAGGATAGGATACTTCTGGCCTCCTTGTGTAGGTACCTATGTGGGAGCCAAGCAGATTACACTAAGTCAGCTGCTAGGCAAAGTCTCTGCTTGTCTGTCATTTTATTTGAAAGTCTCCAATCCAAAACTGGTTCCACTGGTGATGAGTGGGTGGGATGGCCAACAATTTCAATACACGTCCAAAGAAAATACTGCACATGCTTGACAGATGTTTCTCCACTGTGGTAGCGCTTCTAAAGAAAGCTGAAATAATCTTGGCTCTTCCAGAGAAAGTACCGCCAAAATACATAGAACATCTGACAATAAAAGCTGTCCAGCTTTGGGGATTCTCTCTTTGCAAGGTTGGGGAAGACTAACAGGGCATCAAAGATAACTATTCACAGAAAGAGAGAGAAACACTGGTGACAAATGCCAAGTTTCTTAATAACCTGTGAAGAGGCATCTGCATATTACCACTGTTGTATGTCACGTAATTTGAATGTAAATCAAATGTGCGTGTGTGTGCGTGTATATGTTATGAGTGGAAGTTGGGCAGTTAAAAGGCATCTTCCCTTTCCTGTTTTGTATCTCAGTGACTTGAATATAACAAAACTGTCTATATCAAATAGCATCTTTAAGATGATTCAGGCATCACTTTCATCTTCCTGTTGCTGGGCTTTTTTCCCTGATGGCAGACCCTCTCTGTTCCTCTCTTCACTACACATCTCCTAGAACTAGTGTCAAAGAGAATGCCTTCAGAAGGAGGCTGGAAGCAGCAGACATGCGGTTCAAAATTACCCCATAGGTACATCCACAGTTACAACAGTTAGAGACCAGTTTAACTGCCCAGTTCCATCCTAAGGAATCTTGAAATTTGTAGTTTGTCAGGTGCTTAGAATTTCTTAATGCACAAATCTCTGGAAAGCACAAGAGCACTCTAGCAAAGATGTTTAAGTACCTCACAAAACTATAAATCCCAGGATTCCATAAAATGGAATCACTGCACTTGAACTACTCAAAAGCTACAGTTTTAGTGTGTTTCCCTCTATGAACCACCTTGGAGGTTAGGATCTTTTGGGGGAGCCCTGCTCTCAGTCCCACTTCCTTCACATGTGTAGTTGGTGGGGACAAGAGACAGGGCCTTCTCAGTGGTGGCCCCTTGGCTGTGGAACTCCCTCCCCAGTGAAAACAAATCAGCTCCCTTCCTCCTGACCTTCAGAAAGAAATTAAAAACGTGGTTGTGGGACCAAGTCTCTGAACAATAATTCAGTGAAATAAGTGGATTCAGAATAAGTGCAATTGCGACTGGAATGACTCCTAGACTATTATTTTGTATTGTGTGGTTTTAATTATTGGTTTTAATCTTTAGATGTTTTTAACTTTTTGATTTTTAAATGTATATGTTTTTGTTTTTATGTTTGTTCATTTGGCATTGAATTGTTGCCTACTTGTAAATATTTCTGAGTCCTCTTCAGGGTGAAAAGGGCAGAGTATAAATAGAGTAAATAAACAAACTAACAAATAAATGCCACAGTCATGTAAGTCGGATACGTCCATAAATGGGCTAGAGATTCTCTGCTAGAAAATGTATATTCTCCAAAAATGATACTATTCCTTTGAACCAAACATACATTGTTTCAAATCGTATGTATTTTTTGGAAAACACCACTCCCTCTTCCCCAAACGTAATACAGTAAATATTTCTCTCCTCAGCATTTCCAGGTATACAAGGCTGAAGGGGATGATGAAATGGCATGTAGCTAACACAGGAAGGGTCAAGCGCTGCCATGGTTTACAGTCAGCCCAACCTCTTGATTATAGTCTTCATTCGCTTCCCATCAAGAGCTTTTGATATATTTGTTTGTTGGCATAGTGGCATTTACATAAAAGTTAATATGCCTCCATCTCTTGAGAAAACTGCCTCATTCTATTTAGACCTCACATCCAGCTGCTATGCAACATGCTTATGCCAGGTGATCTAGGCCAAAGCTTACTTTTGGTATAGCATCCCTTTCCACGAATATACCAAAATTAAATATTTCCTTACCGGAGCTGTGCACAGACGATTGCTGGGTTGTGGAGAACTGTGTCCTTCTGCCTGAGTGCTAGGAGATGCAGAGAGAAGGTAGTGGCTGTTGGGCGAAGGAGGGAGGCTGATGTGCTGTGGGCTCTTTGCTGCCTCTAATGGCGAGTGCTGGGGAGAGCACTGTGGGCTCAGGAATGTGGAGGACAGTATGCCATTTTGTCCCGAAGTTTCCATGCAATGGCTATTTCCAAGGTGGGTCAGCTGAGATGCTGTCCCACAGTTACTTAGTGTGTCAGAGCTGCTGGCCTGGCCTTTCAAGGCAACATGCTTGGCGGCAAAGGGGCAGCTGGACACTGCGTTTTCTTGTTTGATTGGAAAGCCAAAGAAATGGGATGTGGTCTGCTTCTCCTCCACTCCATGGCTCCTTTTGCGCTTTTGGAGCTGCATCCTCAACTCCTCCACCTGCCTCTGCTCTTGCTGCAATTTCCAGGTTAGCTCATTGATAACTTTCTGTTTTTCCACCAGCATCTTGTCTTTTTCTGTGTCAACCCTTTCCACATCAAGCTGGATGCCAGCTCCATTGACACTTCCCATCAGGCTCTCTTCGCACCCCCCTTGCGCAGGAGAAGGGTGCAAGACAAACTGCGGGGAAGACATTGGTCCCTCATTGAAACTGTCTGGCAATGAGCCATTCACTGACAGGTCAGAGGATGCTGGGGAAATGGGTGGAGTAGAGCTGGTGCTTCCAAAGTGGTAAAAGCCATTGGACAACAGACTGGTGGAAGACTGTGACTGGTAGCTGGAGAGAGAGCTAGCTGGGGTCACTGGGAAGGTGACAGTAGTTATTTCACTGAAGCTGGGCACCGAACCCCCACTGCACTCTTGGAAAGGCCGCAGACGTTCCATCAGGGCTGTTTTTGTACCTGATACTGGAAGGCCCCTTATTCGCAACTGCTGCCTTAGCTCCGACACCTGAAAAGTAAGTCGTTTGGTCAATATCTCTCTTTGGTCCACCTTTACAACAAAGGAGCAACTTGCCTGAATCAAACACTTTTAGCCTAACCCAATTTATTTATTTATTTATTTGCTTTATTTCTATACCGCATTTTTCAGCCCCAAAAGGCGACTCAATGCGGTTTACAGGTACAAATTATCATAACAATGTCAGTGCAATTAAAAATACAACAAATATAACAACAGGATCAACAACACCGATCCACAACAATTAACAAACAACATGAAACAAACATAGCGCCTCAATGAAATCAGATCCGATCTCGTAATCCTTATGTCATTCCTATGTTCCATTTACCGTCTTCCTATGTTCGGTTGCACTGTTAACCAAACGCTTGTTCATAAAGCCAGGTCTTGACCTTTCTCCGAAACGCCAGCAATGATGGTGCCTGTCTGACGTCTACTGGTAAGGCATTCCACAGCCGAGGGGCCACCACTGAGAAGGCCCTGTCTCTCGTCCCCGCCAAGCGCGCCTGTGACGCAGGCGGGACCGAGAGCAGGGCCTCCCCAGACGATCTTAATGTTCTAGTCGGTTCATAGGTGGAGATGCGTTCGGAGAGGTAAGTGGGGCCAGAACTGTTTAGGGCTTTATAGGCTAAAGCCAGCACCTTGAATTGTGCCTGGTAGCGGATTGGCAGCCAGTGGAGCTGGTTCAGCAGAGGAGTGGTATGCTCCCTGAGTGCCGCTCCCGTTAGCAACCTGGCTGCCGAGCGCTGGACCATCTGAAGCTTCCGAGCAGTCTTCAAAGGCAACCCCACGTAGAGAGCGTTGCAGTAGTCTATGCGGGATGTAACCAGAGCGTGGACTACCGTGGCCAAGTCAGACTTCCCAAGGTACGGGCGCAACTGGCGCACAAGTTTTAATTGTGCAAATGCTCCCCTGGACACCGTCGAAACTTGGGGTTCCAAGCTTAGCGAAGAGTCCAGGATCACACCCAAGCTGCGAACCTGCGTCTTCAGGGGGAGTGTAACCCCGTCTAACACAGGCTGTAACCCTATACCCTGTTCGGCCCTTCGACTGACCAGGAGTGCCTCTGTCTTATCTGGATTCAATTTCAATTTGTTCGCCCTCATCCAGTCCGATACAGCGGCCAGACACCGGTTCAGGACCTGAACAGCCTCCTTAGTAGTAGGTGGGAAGGAGTGACAGAGTTGGACGTCATCTGCGTACAGATAACACCGCACCCCGAAACTCCGGATGATCTCTCCCAACGGCTTCATGTAGATGTTAAATAACATGGGGGACAATATAGAACCCTGCGGGACCCCACAAGACAATGGTTGTGAGGTAGAGCAGTTGTCCCCCAGCACCACCTTCTGAGTACGATCCTCTAGGAAGGACCTGAGCCACTGCAGGACAGTGCCACCAAGGCCCATTCCCGCGAGGCATCTCAGAAGGATACCGTGGTCGACGGTATCGAAGGCCGCTGAGAGGTCCAGCAGAACTAACAGGGACACACTCCCCCTGTCTAGCTCCCTGCGCAGATCATCCACTAAGGCGACCAAGGCTGTCTCGGTACCATGTCCCGGCCTGAAGCCAGACTGCGCCGGATCTAGATAATCAGTGTCTACCAAGAATACCTGGAGTTGTGAGGCCACCACACGTTCCAGGACTTTGCTCAAGAAGGGAAGATTGGAAACAGGCCGATAGTTGACGAATTGAGTGGGATCCAGTGATGGTTTTTTCAACAGCGGTTTTATCACAGCTTGTTTTAAGCTGGCTGGAATTTTGCCCTCCCGAAGGGAGGCATTAACCACCACCTTCACCCACTCGGCCAATCCCCCTCTGGCCTCCTTTAGAAGCCAGGATGGGCAGGGGTCTAGGATGCATGTGGTAGCCCTCATTCCTTCTCCAAGTATCTTGTCCACATCCTCGGGTTTCACCAATTGAAATGAATCCAACAAAATCGGACAGACAGGTGTTCTTGTCACATCCTCAGAGACCGCCGTTAACATGGTATCCAGGCCCGAACGGATCAAAGCGACTTTGTCCGCAAAGAACCGTGCAAATGCTTCACAGCGGGCCGTCGAGTTGTCAGGGTTCCCATCCGGGTGGTGGGATTTAATAGCCCTCTGACAACTCGAAACAGCTCCGCCGGACGGTTCTTTGCGGACGCAATATTGGCAGCAAAGAAAGATTTCTTTGCTGCCTTTATTGCCGCGGCATATGCCCTGAGAAAGGCAATATACCGTGTTCGATTTAACTCGCTCGGGTCCGAACGCCACACGCGCTCTAGTCTCCTCTTACTTCGCTTCATCGCTGCCAGTTCCTCGTTGAACCAAGGCGCTGGTTTAGCTCGGCTACTTGAGAGGGGACGTTCTGGAGCAATCGTGTTTATTGCCCTAGTCATTCCCCCATTCCAGAGGGATACCAGGGCATCAACAGAATCACCAACCGAGGTGGCAGGAAAATCCCCAAGAGCCATCAGGAATCCATCCGGATCCATTAGCCTCCTGGGGCGGACCAACTTAATGGGTCCCCCACCTCTGCAGAGGTTGGGAGGTGCAGTGAGTCTAAAGCTGACCAGATAGTGGTCGGTCCATGGCAACGGAGAGATGGACAACTCCTCAACACCGCCACCTTGCTCCCATCCCTGGCTGAAGACCAAATCCAATGTGTGTCCAGCACTGTGTGTGGGGCCAGATACTCGTTGGGACAGCCCCATGGTTGCCATGGAAGACATGAAGTCCTGAGCCGCTCCTCCTAGGGTAGTCTCGGCGTGTACATTGAAGTCCCCCAGCACAAGAAGCCGCTGGGACTCCAATGCCAGGCTCGAGACCACCCCTGCTAGCTCAGGTAGGGAGACCGTAGTGCAGCGAGGTGGGCGGTACACTAACAGAATCCCTATTCTGTCCCGGTCACCCACCCTCAGGTGGACACATTCAAAATTAGTTGACTGCGGGATGGGGCCTCTGGTCAGAGGGATTGAATTTTTATAGACTACCGCAACTCCGCCTCCCCGCCCTCCAGGTCTCGATTGGTGCTGTACGGAGAAACCTGGAGGACAAAGCTGGGTCAAATTTACTCCTCCAGCTTCGTCCAACCAGGTCTCCGTAATGCACGCCAGATCTGCCCGTTCCTCAAGAATTAGGTCTTGGATGAAGGATGTTTTACCGTTGACAGATCTGGCGTTCAACAGCACCATCTTCAACCCAGAGGGGCCGCCATCCTGGGTACCCCGGCTTACCATGTCAGGAGACCGATTGCAGATGGTTAAATTTCTTCCTCTTTCCCTAGGCCGAATTTGGGTTGTTAAGTTTTCACTATCTCTAGGCCGAATTGGCGGTCTCCCTTTCCTGCATCTCCCCCTCCCCGTTATGGTTTCTATGGGGACCCCTCGGCTAATGGAATACCTCTCTTCTTCCATATTGCACTTCGAGTATATAACTTCATCCCATGTTAATTTTCCCTTTTGCCATGCTACTTCATTCCAATCTGTCTCCTCCCATCCTCTCCACCTTCCATTCTCCTCCCAAACCACCAGTAATACTGTCAGTAGGTACCAAGGAATGAGAGGCGACATAGATGAGCAGTGTTGGTATAGCGTTGGTATAGGTCACTAGAATACAAATTAGTAGCAGGTATTAAAGTGCTAGTTGTTAAAGTCACAGTTGTTAAAGTGCACTAAGCTATCACGTTAACTAACGTTAACTAAAGTGCTGTGATGAGGCTTGATAGTGTTAAAGTGCTTGGGATTAAAGTGCTTAATGGATAAGTGCTGGCAAGGAGAATTGGCAGCGTTTGGTCAAGATGATCGCATTAACAGTGCAATGGTACTCGGCAACAACAGTTCAGGGTGCTGATCTAGTAATACCTTGATCCCTGGATAACAACACAGACATAGATAGTAATTTGGAACCAGCTAATAGCAGGGCTCTGGCCAGATATGCTAGGTCTAAAGTGCTCTAAGCTGATTGACTAATGGTAGGTCTAAAGTGCTCTAGGCTAAAGTGACATAGTGGTGGAACCAGTTCGAGAAAAGTTCTTTGCCTTCTTGGACTAGGCCACTTCTCAATCAAGGGTAGTCAGTTCAGATTTAGGAGACCGGGTTCTGAGGATCCGTGAAGGACGAGCCGGCATCCCCTTGGCCAGGCTCCCGCCTCTTCCCGACCAGCCAATGGGTGGTGGCACTAATCGCGAACAGATGAGCAGATGGTATACTCATGCAAGAGGCAGTGTCTGTTGGTTAATTCATGTCACAGTTGCCAAGAGCTTTCAGAGCTGGAGATCAGATGTTATTTATGCAGCTCGACTTGGCCAGAGGGGGCAGTATAAGATGATAAGGATTGAGCGGTGAGCGCTGGATGGTAATGGCGGGCAGGTCTTCCGACCGGTCTCAACACCAACCGTCCGCCATTGTAATGTCAGTCTTGGTGTTGGATTGTTGTTATTGACGGTGAGGATAAGAGCCGCCAGCCTCAGGATATAATAGTACTCCCCCCACACAGTTGTTCAATAGTCGGCGGCACCGCCAGCCCCCCCCTGATGGAGGGGCCCACTCCCGCGCCGAGCGCCGAGGCCCAGTTGGAGAGGCCTCGCCACGCGCCAGAGCCGGGGCCAGCCGGCGTCACAGAAAGCCGGGTGCTGAGCCCCGCAGCTAGGCAGGGAGTCCAAGCCGCCACGGGTCCCAGCAACAAGGCGGTGATGCAAGCGACGACGCAAGCGGCAGCGGCGTGATATCAGGCCGCGCTCTAGGCCTTCAGCAAGGCGATTCAGGTCGCGGCAGCATGGTGTCAGGCCGCGCTCCCCCAAAGAGTGGACGCGGAGGAGCTCTTAGGCTGCGCTCTAGGCCTCCAGCAAGGCGGCGATTCAAGCCGCGGCGGTGTGGTGCCAAGCCGTGCTCCCCCAAAGAGTGAATGCGGAGGAGCACAAAGGAGCCGAGTTCCGGCAGCTCCAGATGAAAGTGGCGCCGGGGGGTGGCAATTAGTAGCTCCAGCAAGGCGGTGGTTCAAGCCGCGGCGGCGCGGTGTCAGGCCGCGCTCCCCAGAGAGTGGACGCGGAGGAGCACAAAGGAGCCAAATTCCGGCAGTCCCAGATGGAAGCGGCGCCGAGAGGTGGCAATTAGTGGCTCCCCTGGAAGCAGGCAGTCCTTGTCTCCTCGCTAGTAGCGGTGACAGCGAGTTTGGTAAGTCTCGGGTCGGCGGTAGAATCCACACCAAGGCTAAAACTGCTGGTCAAGACACTAAATGTTGATGCTGTAGTAACTACTGTTATGGGGTCATATCTGGCAGTTCAAGATTGTGTTGCTTCCTTTACTTGCTTTTATATTGTTATAAACTGTCTAAATCAAAATCATATACACTGATCACAAAAAAGTGAAACAAAATTTAAGGCCTTATGTCCAACCTATATTTTGGAACAGAATTCAGTGCAAATTAAATGTCTTACCTAATATATCAGAACTTTCAGAAGCATCCTATTTCAATATTCCAGGGTCATACTGAGCTTGACCATGTATGTCTCTGTGTTAATCTGTATTCTAAAACCAAGCTATAGTTTATGAAGGTGGCCTAGCTGAGATATACCCATGGCATGTAACCTTGGCCCAAAAGCCTGCATTTAAAATATTTTAAAGAATAAAGTTACTGAATATGATAATAATATAATAAAACTTTATTTATACCCTGCACTCTATACCCAGAGGGACTTAGAGCAGCCAGAGGGACTCAGGCGGTTTTAATTGTGATTAATCTTTGCCTATTGACTAATTGTCATTTTTCAACCATGCACTTTGCAGCATTGCTTTCATTTGTTGCATTCCCATATACACTCATCACTCACTTTTAAGTCATCTAGATTGGATGGAAGAGGACCTGGTTTGAGAGACGAAATGCAGGATTGTCCTGAAAAGGTTCCCTTCACAGGAGAAAGGCTGTGGTTCGTGACTGCTGCTGGGGAAGAGCTGGAAGTTTTGGTCATCTGCTCATTTGTTTGCCTAAAAACAAACAAAGAAACAAACAAAATAGAAAATGGCAGAACGTTTATATTTCTTGCTTTAAAAATATATATGTCCAAAATCTTGGTCTATATAATAGGTTTGGAACACACTTAGTGCCTTAAGCATACATGCAACATTTTCATTATAGTCAACAAAGTCTACAAATGACTAGGGAAGCATTTACATACACTGTAGCTAGACACCACTTTAACTACCATGGCCCAATGCTATGCAATCCTGGGTTTTGTATTTGGCAATGCACTAGCAATCTTTGTCAGTGGAGACTAAAGGCCTTGCAAAATTACAACTCCCACAATTCCATAGTATTGAACCATGGCAGTTAAAGTGTTGCCAAACTGTATTAATTCTACTGTGTGCAAGCACCCTGGGTGGCTAGATTCTAGAGTATGGCCTTTATGCAGCCCCCTGGACCCCAAACCTTTAAAAAAATATACCACCCCTCTGCTGGACATGTTGAATTCTCCCAACCCAACATGCCAAAATTAGAAGTCATACAATAACTCCAGACACAGAATGGAGAAGATGACTGCTGGAAACATTTTCATTACCAACTCACTTCAGCGAAGTGGAATGTGACCCAGGATAGTTGAAATGCTGCTGGTGTCGGTGCTGCTGTTGCTGGCTGAGGATCTGGAGCTGGAGGAAAAGTTGCTGCTGCTGCAGGAGCCTAGCATAGGCCGAGTCCATAGGAGGGGGAGACTTCTCCGCTTTTTGGTCTGGGGGAATGTACTGGTGGTACTTTAGTTTCTTCACTTTGGGCTTCATCTCCTTGGGCTTTTTGTGCCGATTCTTGCTGTCACTTGTTGGCTTGGACTATTACATGTCATAAAGAAAAATTCAGAAATATTAACACCTTCAGCATGATCTACCAATTAGATGGATTTTTTTTTTGCGTGTGAGCTAACTCATTTAAACTGTATCTGAGAGTGACACATACTTTCAGAATTACTAGTAAACCTCTGTAAACCAGCTGCTCCTGTTTTGAAAATGAAATCAACTTTGGATGACGAAACTTAAGTACCTCTATACTGTAAAAAAACCCTTTACTCTTCATCTATTTTATGATTGTGTCGATACATAATATACTGACACCAGCTGTGAAGATTGAGCTATCAATTAAGCAAACATTCCTTCAGCGATGAAACACCCAGCTCCTTCCAAGCATTTTAAGATGACACAAAGCGAATAATAAACACAATGTCTCCATTACAATTAACAGAGCTCCTTCGAAGTTCATATTCACATGCCAAGTGCAGCATTTTGAACTGTGAAATGACTTTCATATAGATCAGTGGTTCTCAACCTGTGGATCCGCAGGTGTTTTGGCCTACAACTCCCAGAAATCTCAGCTAGTTTACTAGCAGTTAGGATTTCTGGGACTTGAAGGCCAAAACATTCGGGGACCTGCAGGTTGAGAACCCTGATATAGATAGAGGAAACATAAATGTTCTGTCCTTGGCGATTCCTGGACTCAGGATGGCTGTGAAGGGTAATGCCATCCACACTTGGTCCACAAGTCAAGACTGATGAGATCAGCTTCATAAATGGCAAAAGACTTAAAAAAATTAATTTCAATGTATGCCATTTATATCCTTCTGACACTCCACTGTTTTGACTAAGTTAATTCTATGTATTGTTGAAGGCTTACATGGTTGGAATTACTGGGTTGTTTTAGGTTTTTTGGGTTGTATGGCCATGTTCTAAAAGCATCCTCTCCTGACATTTTGCCTGCATCTGTGGCAAGCATCCTTGGAGGATGCTTGCCACAGATGCAGGTGAAACGTCAGGAGAGAATGCTTCTAGAACATGACCATACAACCCGAAAAACCTAAAACAACCCACTAAGTTAATTCTATAGGAATTAATTTTTATGATTGAAATGGACCCTACTGTTGTGATAGGAGGTGGCACAGCCTATATATATTCTTCCCCAGGTACATCTTAAACCATCTTTCTTTTTGCAAATGGGTGTTTACCGTTATCTAGCTAGAAGGGTAATCGTTATAATTTTTCTTCACAGGAAGTGAAAGTAAAAAGTCATACCTTTGCAGATGAGGACATAGTGACAGGAGATGTCTGTTGCCCATTCAGCTGTTTTGGACTTTCTGGCTGGCTGTTCTGAAGAGATGTTGAATCAGAAGCATTGTTTTCAGAGCTACAGGGATTTCCCTGAAATCAGAAATCCATTGGATATGCAATTAATGTTCCCTCAGGAAGTGTTGAGAAGTTAAACCACTTGTTTACTTATTTGGATGTTTATAAATCGTTCTTCATCTCAAGCTCTCAGGACATTTAACAAACAAATGTGTAATAAATGCAATAAAATGCATTATAGAAAGCAAAAGCTAGAAAGATTTGCAGCTAACCTAATGGGCTAGGCAACCAAATGTTTTAACCTGGTTGCAAAGTTGGTGTCAGTTTGACCTTTGTGTAGGGGTTTTCATAGGAAGACCTAGTGATGTATCCAATTTTGTTAACTGAGCTCTGCCTGTATATTCTCTATATCTAATTGGTGTCATTTTGTTTCCTGGCAGAAGCAAACTTCCTCTGCCATAAGGCAAATGGTAGATGGGCATAAAGACTGAAGTTGGTGAAATAAATGGATAACAAGTGGTGAAAGGAAAAGACTGGACCATTGAACTACACCCTTTGGAACTTAAAATAGATTCAGTTTGCCAAAAAAATCATTCAGACTCTTCGGTTCTACACAATATAATCATACATATTTTAATACACTAAAACCACTCTAGGAGGCTCCCAACTGATCGGTTTCCATCAAAGTCCATTAGGATTTTCGGTTGGTAATGACTCCCCATTGTAGTATTTCTATATAACTGAGACCAATTGCATTTATCAGGCGGGTGTTATTAGGGAAACCAAATGGACGATCGTTGGGCTCCCTGCCATAAGTGCTTGGAAAATGAAGGTGCCCTATGCCAAGTACACTCTGTAACAAAGCTGCTGGAATGGAGGAGGGCAATCTAAGCCAAGAATATGTCGTGTTCAGGTTAACAGTGGCTTGGGATCCTTAGCAGGACACCTCGGTGTTTTATGTAACCTCAAGAGGTTGACCTCACAGCTGATTTCCTCCATTAGCAACAGCAACCTTAGAGATATTCAGGCAGGGTGGGGGTGCATTGCAGCTTGTTACCCACAACTGGATCTTCTTCCACACTTGGAAACAGGAATATTCTTCATTTGGGTTTGTTTGGGTTTTTTTTGTTTTGTCAGGAGCGACTTGAGAAACTGCAAGTTGCTTCTAGTGTGAGAGAATTGGCCGTCTGCAAGGACATTGCCCAGGGGACGCCTGGATGATTTGATGTTTTTATCATCCTTCTGGGAGGCTTCTCTCATGTCCCCGTATGAGGAGCTGAAGCTGATAGAGGGAGCTCATCCGCCTCTCCCCGGATTCGAACCTGTGACCTGTCGGTCTTCAGTCCTGCCGGCAAAGGGGTTTAACCCACTGCGCCACTGGGGGCTCTGCATTTGGGGGGTATTGGATGCTCAGTAGAAAAAGAGAGGTTTCTCGAACAATCGCAATTGCGGTCACACTCTGCAATTGTGTACTGCACTGACTAATTGGCAACCATGATGTCACTGAGAAAACTCTTTAAAAAAATATTGAGAATAAATTGTCTCCAATAGGCTAGAGCATGAAAAAAGTTTTAAAATCAAGATACGTTTACAACAAAAGTGTGGGAACAAATTGTGGAAGGAAAGTAGGAAAGGGTAAAGAGGGAGCTGAGAAGGGAATGAAGAAAAGAAAAAAGGGAAAAAAACAAAACAACTTCAAGGTTCCTCTAGGTTTTGTTATCAACTCTTTTCACTAAGTTTTCAGTCTGTCTGCCGTCTAGTTTCTGTTTCTCATTTGACCTTTGAAACTCTTTTAAGCCTCCTAGATATAAATTTCTGCATTTTCTTTTCTAATAAATTCAATAATTTTTTCCCAGTTTTTTTTGTCTTTGTGTATTACTTTCTGTTAAGATTTGCGTGAGCAAATCCATATTCATTATATCCCAAACTTTCAATAGCCAGTTTTCAATTGGTGGTGTTTTGCTGGATTTTGATAGTTGTGCCAGTTTGATCCTAGCTGCTGTTATTAGGTAAATGAAAATTCTATTTGTGTTTTTTTTCTATTTCAAAATCCATTACTCCTAATAAGAAATACTCTGGTTTAAACTCAAAGTTTATCTGTAAAATTAATTCTATCTTTTTAATGTATCAACTTGCAGAAATATTGGGTTTTCTTGCACTTCCACCATAGATGTATGAAAGTGCCTACATCTTTTGCACACTTCTAGCATTTGTCGCTAGTTCTGCCTTTATTGATTTTTGCTAATTGTTCTGGTGTTTGGTACCATCTGTAGAACATGTTATACCAGTTTTCTTTGAATTCCATGGAGTGAGTTTTGATTTCTTCGTCCACATCTCTTCCCACTCTGACATACTTATTGTTCTCCCTAGATCTCTGGCACACTTTGTCATGACCTCTTTTGTCTGCTCTTCTTCTGTTGACCATGTTAATAATTGTTGGTAAATCTTTTTAGTTAGTTTCATCTCCATTTTTAATATTTTATCCCAAAACGGCTCCTTTGTTTCAAAACCTATCTTCCTATCTATCAGGAAATTTTCTTTTATCTGCCAATATTGAAACCAGGAAAGTGTCAGGTCAATCATTTTTACATCTACTGGAAAAACTCTTATGGTGAGAGGAAATGTTAACTTTCTAAGCTAATTGGTGGGGTGGATTATGGTTAAATCACCTTCCAGTCTGGCCATTTCTGTTTCAAAGCCAATGACACCCTGCAATTGGGAGTCTTCTTTAACTGAGAGTACACTGCTTCTCTTCAGTCTTTATGCAAATCACAAAATCCACCTATTAATCAAGCCAGTCATTCCGAAGCACATGTTTAGGGCTTGGTCAGGGAGGAAACTGTAGAAACCTGGACCCTAAAACAATTGACAAAATCTCCATCAGTGTTCTTGGCTAGAGAGCCAGAAAGTCTGCCTGCTCACATGCTCTCTACTTTACAAGTGTGACAGTTATCAGATGCTGACACTACCATTGTGGTCTTTCATAACTTGTCAGGAGGGCAAAAGTGCCAAATGGAAGCAGGAGAGCAAATTTCTGACACTTTCGTTGGAACGACTGTTTGCTAACTTAGACCTGACTTCTCTAAGCAGTGTAATCTAATCTAAAATGGCTTGTAAATCTGGAGAGAAAGAAGTGTCAACCCTCATCTCAATGAAGGGTCAAAGCCTATAGGCAGCAGAGAGAACTACAGATACTATAGTACTCTACACTACTATAGTATGGACTAGCACTATAGACAAGAAAAGTATGGCACTGTGTATTGTATGAGTAAACACTTTTGTGATTGCTTTATACTAACTCAAAAACAACTCCGATTATATTCTAATATCTCAAAATTTGGAATAACTTAGACTTAAGCATATGTAGAGGTCTCCTTTAGGACTTGACTTTGGTCTTGGCATCAACCTTCAAAACAGTCCCTTAAGCAAAGCACCAGCAACATTTCATTCTACTCCAGTCTTACATGGGAGCTTTAAGCCAAGAGATTCCTGTGGAGTATGATTTTTAATATATTCTATCCTTTTAAGCAAAAGCTTTTTTTCCTGAGAATAAGATGTAAACTTCAAAAGTCAGACGTTAATCACTGATGAACACGATTGAAATTTTTATCACTTACACCCACAATACTAATTTCCACTGTGTGCTTAGCTCTAAGTGAGTCGAATTATGCTTTTAAAATGTATTGGGTCATTTTCCTAATATGCAGCTAAAACAACACTACAGTCAATTTAAATTTAAAAGTCTCATGAAACCTGGAGGGTCTGCCGTTAGAAACACTGTTTTACCTGAGTTGACCCCGCTGCTGAGGGGAACGCTGCTTCTGAAATTTTGGTTCCTGCTGCTGACTCTGTGGACCCTGGGGAATCCTCACTCCGGACCTGCTCTGGGGACATCCCATCATTGCTGCTGTCTTCTTCAAAAGCAAAGGCATCCGAAGATTTGGAGAAGTTCTTCTGAGTACCTATGGAAAAAAGAAAGAAAGAAAGAAATTACAGTTGGATAAAAAAAAAAAACATGGATTTTGTATCCACAGATTCAACCACCCACAGCTCAAAAATATTTGTTTGTTTTTTTAAAAAATCTAAATGGTAAACCTTCATTTTGTCATTTTATACCAGGGAAACAGTTTTATTACATCATTTTATATAACAGGACTTTAACTTCCAAAGATTTCATGTTCATAAGGAGTTCTGAGACGAAATGGATTATTAAAAGAAGTGTGTGTTTCAGGTGGTTTTCCAATAAACACACAAGCAAAAAATATACCAAAAAAAGCATGGCAGTATAGTTATGCATTTTCCTTGCTCACCATATACCAAAAAAGACATCCATGAAGCTGAGAAGTACTCTAGCTTAAGTGCAATCATGCAGCAATTAAAAAAAACAGCAAGGTTTAATTGAATTGCTTAACTGAAAAAGCCATGAATTGATGGTGAAACCCTAAAATTGCATGCTAATAAAAATCTCAATTTAGCAATTGGAAGAAACTAAACACAAATACTTTGTTTTGGCTGCAGAAATTTTTCAAAACATGGGCATTTATCAAAACATGGGCATAGATAAATCTTTGCTGGTAAATCAATATGAAACTTTGCTAGCTGGAAATAGTTTTCCAATAGGATCTGATTCCTTATTTTCTGTAGACCTTCTGTAGAAGATATTCATGGCTTTTCTATAGAGAATAAATTAGATGATATGTGACATTATGTGTATCCATGATGACCTAACAAGAGAAATAAAAATTGAAATTAAAATATGGAAGAGAAAAAGAACTGCCATATTTTATTTTTATGACAGAATTTTTGCAATTTTGAAAAATGTAGGACTAAATCCATTGTTAGCTCTAAATGAAATGGACCCAATAAAACTACAAGATTTACATAAAGGCTGATTTAATGGGTCTCACTAAAACTAAAGAGTGTATTCTAGCTGAATTTAGGTTGCAATTGGTACCCCATGTTTCAGTTTGTTTGAAAATAAAGATTATTGGAAAACGGCAGTAGAGGGAAGACAATCTCTAATAAATTAGGCAAGAGTCAATCTTGAAGTTATATGCAGTCAAATAACTATCCAGCACAATCCTGTCCATTTTTTTCATGTCAGGAGTGATTTGAGAAACTGCAAGTCAGTTCTGGTGTGAGAGAAGTGGCCATCTGCAAAGACGTTGCCCAGGGTATGCCCAAATGTTTTGATGTTTTACCATCCTTGTGGGCTTCTCTCATGTCCCCACATGGGGAGCTGGAGCTGACAGAGGAAGTTCATCCGCACTCTCCTCGAATTCAAACCTCTGACCTATTAGTCTTCATTCCTGCAAGCACAAGGGTTTAACCCATTGCGCCACCTGGGGCTGCTGTCCATACCTACGAATAAGTTACAACTGTGCTTACTTCAGGGCAGTGAGTTCTGCAGCATAGCCTTCAATCCCACCTGGTAACATAACTTTGAACAATGTCAGTAATGGGTCTTCATATAACTGATTTGCTTCCTCAAATCAGTGTGGCTTAGACCAGATGATATTTCCCTGCCACTCAGCAGACTTGAGAAGCTCTGGAAAGTGTTCCAGTGCAATATCCTGCAATCTAGCAGGCAAAGGCGCTTGACCCTTGACTTCTAGCGATAAGTAGAGTGCCGGGAAAGACAGGCCCTATCACAAAAGCCTCGAAGGACTGTAAGATGCAGGACAAATTGTGGAAGGAAGGAAGATGCCTGCTACACACTGTAATCTTTCCAGGGCCATGTCTGGCTTTGATCAAGTGTCTTCCTGCTAGGCTAGAAAAGAGATATGCTGGATTTGTGTGATGGTAACGGTGGGGGGACAGGTCAATAATGAATGGCCCATGCTCAGATATTAGTATTCCGCCAAGATTTATGTTCTTTCCTGAAAGTTACTCCAAAAGCATTCCTAGGTTGAAGAAAAACCCTACAATATACTGTAACGGCTCTCTTTTGTGTGCTCTGCAGAGATGCTGGCACAGAGTTAAGAAGAGGGACTTTTCTAGCTTTACCTTTGATAGCCTCCTTCACAGCAGAGTCCACAGGAATGATATTCTTCTCCACCAGCTCCAAAGGACCTGGCCTAAGAGCAATCTTTTCATTCAGATTGTCTGCAAGACGGGCTCTTTTCAGTTTCATCTGAGTAGCTTGAATTGACTCTTCTGCAGCTGAATCTGTACAGTCAACATTGAAAATATCAATCCTTGCACAAAGTGATCTGATTGTGCCACAATATAAACCCAGTAGCCAAAATTCTATTGTTAATCCGAATTAAAGTAAACTCAGAGGTATTTCATAGAATCATAGAGTTGGAAGAGACCATATGGGCCATCTAGTCCAACCCCCTGCCATGCAGGAAAAACACAATCAAAGCGCTCCTGACAGATAGTCAATCAAATCTGTCCATAGAAGGGACTTCCACCTTACTCCGAGGCAGAGAGTTCCACTACTGAACAGCTCTTACAGTCAGAAAGTTTTTCCTAATGTTCAGGTGGAATCTCCTTTCCTGTCATTTGAACCCATTGCTCCGAATCCTAGTCTCCAGGGCAGCGCAAAATAAGTCTGCTCCCTCTTCCTTATGATACCCTTTTACATATTTTTCTACATGACTATGATGTCTCCTTTCAACCTTTTCTTCTTCAGGCTCAGCATTCCCAGCTCTTTAAAGCCACTCCTCACAGTTCATGGTCTCCAGACCTCTGATCATTTTAGTCGCCCTCCTCTGGACACCTTCCAACTTGTCAATATCTCTTTTGAATTGTGGTACCCAGAATCTTGGCATACTGCATAAATCTTGGCACACTTTCTCAGCAAGTGATTCAAGGGACCACCAAGAACAGGTCAACACTTTTTTAAAAAAATAGGCTAAATTTCATATTGAGGTAGTCTATACCAGAGTTTAGAAGTATTACAATCACAGAATCACTTGGCCAACAAAGTCAGCCAGCTGAGGAATTCTGTGAATTTTAGTGCCATTAAAAAAAATACCAAGTTCAGGTGAAGACAAAGAGGATATACGCTATTATTTCCCAAGATAATGAATCAGGATGCAGTTGTAACACAAAACACCCCTCATGACTCATACAATTAAAACTGCTCTAAATATCCACATGTTAACTGTTATGAGCCACAAAGGGCAATAATTAATAGTTTAGTTTGACCATATATGAACTTTTTCATGGCTAATTTTAAACTCATTCAATTTACACAACATGCAAGGTGCAGAAGAAGTGGCTTAACAACACAATTCAATGATTTCCAATCTACCCTCTTCATTACAGCATATATGTGCAAGAATAGTTTCCACCTGGATCATGGACTAATCATTAATATGCCGAGATTAGCATGTAGGGATCTGAAAAATTCTTGAAATATGAACTGGGGCCTTCATAAATTCTGTGTAGTTAGTTTTTTTTGGGTATACCTACTATTTGAAGCTGCATTAGATCTCAAGAAATGATTTAAGGCCTAGATCTAGTATGCATGCTATTGGCATGGAAGTCTCCTCTATTACACTTAATATGCCATTTTTGGCAAAAGCGGCCCTTGGTCTCCACTTCCTTCTTGCTACAAAAGAGCAGTCAGGGGTTTTCTAAGCATAGTTCCACTGACTGTGGACACTGCTGTGCCCTAGTACGTTCCAGCTGCTCTTGCACACCCAGAGGATGAGAGAGCAGTTCTTGTCTACAGATATTAACAGATATTTGACAACAGAAGAGGCACCACTGTTGTGTAGAAATGCATAGTATATATTACAAACCCTGAACATGCAGGATCAGGGTTTCATCTACTTGCATTTGACAAAACATGTGTCTCAAGAATGTTTAGATCCACCAGAAGTTACCACAGAGTTGTCTTCGATGGCTTAGCAAATTCTTAGCAAGGACACTTCTCCAGGAATTTTGTAAGTCCTCCAGGGTGACTTTATGCTAACTTCTGTTAGAAATTGTTCATTTCAATAGGGTTCACAATTATCCATCATTTCTTCAATAGTACATTTAGGACTGAATCCCCACAGATATGGGGCTTGTATTGTATCTTCTTGCATCATATCATTCAACATTCATATGTCAGCGTAACCAAAGATTATTCTGGTAGAAAACACTAACTAAGTCAAGGATATATGCTTTCCCCCCCAGTTCTCCTGAAGCAGAAATATAAGAGTGCTGGAGCTATTAGGTATTTGATTAACCCACTGCTTGATTAAGTATTGATTTAGATACCATGCTAAATATTGTGAGAAATATTTTTCATAAATGCATTGCAACAGATACAAGAAGCTTCCATGTTCACATCTGGAGAGAGAACAAGGACACAGACTACATAGGAAATAATGGTGCTGGATATTTCAATTACACACAAGGGAACAACTCTTTCTGTCTCACCCTTTAAAATGTGCATATCAACCAGTTCGGAGTGCTCAGATCTGTTCCGGATCTTGTGCTTTAAAAAATCTTCAGCCTACAAAATATAACAACAAAGATGATTATTTCACTAGATTGTTTATGCACAAGGGGAAATGTTTCGTTAAGAGGATGTAGCATGGCCTTAGGGAACTGGACTGGATGGCCCTTGTAGTCTTTTTTAACTCTGATTTTATGATCTGGTCAAACCATTGTAATTTATTTACCTGAAAAATATATGCAGCATTTAATCTCTATACTTAATATTAGCTGGTTAGAGACTGACTACTGAAAAGGTGACTTCTCTGCAAAGTGTCCTAGAATGTAAATTACTTATCACTGATATGACAGGGAAATATGACACTAAACACTGGCTTAGGATATGGACTAAACCCAGTATGTCAGATTTTGATTATAAAATAAATGGATAAAGTCTACTTCTTAACCCCGTTTACAAAGCTATACACAAGTTGAGATGTATTTCCTTTTCAGATAAGCAATTGTTTTTTGCTTAAAGTCATAGTAATTACATTTCTTTGTTCACATGTAATTCATGTTATGTGTGAACAAACATGGTCAAACAGATTTCCCATCAGGCATATTAAACTAAGCAGCTTGGAGATATTCCGGAGTTGCCTCTCCCCGTATTTTCAATAAAGGCTTAGAATACAGTTTTGCTCCAGTTTAAGGCTTTTGACTCATATAATCCTTTTTTCTTCCAGGCAACCAGCCAGTGGAAGCCTTTGAAGAAAGACAGTGAGATATTAACCTATGCCTGAACATTGAAATATACAGCACTTCAAAGTTACTTCAGACGGCTTGAAGTCTCCTAAGCACATTAATTTTTCACAGGGAGCTATAGATCCTTCCTTATGTTACTCATGGGTTTTTTTGCAGGATGTTCATGTACAGTAATGTATCATAGGCACCCTCTGATATTCCCAATGCTCACATATAAACTTCTGCTACAGATTAACCCTTCACCAGTGTTTACTATGAACAGGTAGGTGAATGGAAAACAGACATCAGATGACCTATACGTTTCTATTAACTGGGAACAGATTGCAGAACTACAACTTCAATTTCTGATCACCTGAAGTCAAGAGATGTTTCAAGAAGTTTACAAAGTTGTCATGTACCATTGGGGAATGCACAGAGTGGAAAATGGAGACTTTGTTGGATTGGAACTCCCATTATCCCTCATCAGAAGGCCCATCTTTGATCTACAGTGGGTGGTGATCTCAGTGTGCTTCCAGCAACACTGCCATAGGCTTTAACTACTACACCCTGTACCCTATATGTGCAATGACTTGTACTTCTGTTCCATATAAAGTAACTCATTGATCTGAATCACTTGGAAAATGCTGCTTCAAACAAACATAAATTGGTGTCCTGTTAGTTAATTCTAACCAGAGTAGATATTACCTGCACTATTGTATAAGAAGGGATGGTGAATATGATTTAAGAATGTGTGACTCTAGGTAACTGTGATTGTGAATTCCAGCCAAGTTTTCCTGAGCTCCTCGGCACTTTAGAGATTGTTAACCAAAGTGGTGCCATTCTTTCCGCCCACTCAGATGCCTACCCAGGGTTACCTTGGCTCTCTCCAAGCTCTTCTTTTGCTCATGAAAGGAAGAGGGGCTTTTCAGAGCTGCAAGCAGAAAGAGACAGAGGCCCAGTGAGCATAGCACAAAACAGGCATATCATCATCAGCATCATCCCATGGTAACAGGATTAACAAAATTAGCCACAATCAGCCAATTTCTTTGTTATGAATGGGAAAAAAACCCACAGAAATTACCAGTCTCTGTCACAGGTCAGGTTGTGGCAGGACAAATGAGGAGTGAGAATGCTGAGCAAAGACACAGATGAGAATCTAAGCAGAGGGAAATTAGGGATCAGGTGGAGATAGCTTAGAAATTGTGGCTGACTTAAGAGAGAAATGTGTGGGCTAGTTGAGAAGCATAGCCTGTCCAGTATCTGAACACATTCTGCAAGAAGCTCAAGAGATGACATGGGTGCATCTGCAGGCCTTGCACTTAAATCCTTAACACATGCCCTACTGATACAAATGCAATGGATTTCCACTCCAGCCCTTTTCACACAATTATAGCAGTTTGATATGGTTTTAAACTGCTATGACTGCATCCTGTAGAATCCTGTAATTTGGATTTTGGTGTGAGAATTCTCTGGTGCACTCCACTGGTGCAACACTCCTCTCTCTGGTTATGATCTCATAAATCAGTGTCATTCTGTAGTGAAGATATGGCCGCAAAGCACTGACAATTTCAAACAAAATGGCCTTGGCTGGTCTTAAGTTCTGTATCCACAAGTCCCAAAGGGCGAGAACCTCTTCTCCTTTTTCACAAAATCCCATCCACTAGTGCCAAAATACAAGTGTGGTCCCATAACAGGAAAGCACACCAGTTTCCCCAGCCATGCAATTCCACAGCAGTGGAATACCTAGTTGCTTGACTTTCCAAACTAAGAATCTATTCAGATATAATTCTCCTTAGTCTAAGAACTGCTGTCTCTATTCATTATCATAATAAGTGGAAAACCATCACAGCTCCAGGGGAAGTATGCATGCAAGATCCATACTGTTCATGTAATGGGGAGTACAAGCAACCTAGGTGGAGACACAATTCCAGAAGAAAGTGTGCACAAACCTCTCTCACTGTGCAACCGTGAAACAACAAGTACGTGGAATAACAGCTTCTTGTGAGATGGTGAAGTCTTGTAATTGCACAACATTGGCGGGGGGGGGGGGGGGGGGATTAAATGGGGAAGTGAAGAAGAAGGGCAACACATGGGTTGGGAGGAGTCCCCTAGCAGAGGTGCAGTAAGACAGATCTGCATTATTTTATTAAATACTTTTGGTTTTTTAACAACAGGAGTATGATGGACAGAATGCCAATCCAGTGCTCCTCCAGAAATCTATGAACATGGATTTGCACCAGTAGAACCTGTTTTCTGATCAACGTGTGATAAGGTCCCTAAACTCACTCTGGCTGAGAATCCTAAATATCTGTCAATACTACAAAACTTAGGACTCCATAGACCCCTGTCATGTTAAAGTGGCACTGAAGTGCTATAAATGACCAATATGATCTCTTTTGTAATAATAATTACCAGCTAGTTTCTCCTATGATCAGGAGCACTGCATGCAAAACTTATGTTTGTGGACCCCAATTCCCAGAATCCCTCAGACAGCATGGCCAGTTTTCTGCTGGCTGAAGATCTCTGAGAGCTACCATCCAATACAGTATCAGCTGATCTAGAGGATACACTACTGAAATTTTACATTGATGCATATATATACCACATTTATGTTAGCACACAGAGAAGGACAACTCACAAAGTACTTTATTTAGTCCCCCAAAGCTTTCCCCATTTGTTTTCTTCAAGCCATGAACCCTTTCTTTCTTCTGCTCCATCCATAGGCATGTTTCCTTTTCCTCAGCATCAGAGAGTTTCCAGAATGTCCCTGATTGATTTTAACAGTGCTCATTCTTTGAACCAAACCTGGGTATGCTTTAAGGGCACATGGGATAAGCACTGCATCTCTGTGTTTTGGGAGCAGTGAAATGCTGCATCTGTCTGTGGGACCCATGTTGGGAATGGCTAAGCTACACCTTCTCAGCATCAGAAAGCCATTGTTTGTCCTCATGGTTAAAAAGCAACACTTTCAGACCACTCACACTGCAAAAATCATAGTAGTCTGATACCACTTTAACTGCCATGGTTCCAACCTATGGAACCCTGGGATTTGTAGTTTGTTGTGGCACCTGCATTCTCTGGAAGATATGGCTAAATTGTATCTCACAAAATGACAAATCTCAGTAATGGCAACTAATGTGGTATTAAACTGCTATAATTCTGTAGTGTGGATAAGTCAACAAGCGACTTGAAGGTACATACATACACAAAAATCTAAACTTCCATATGTATATCCAGACTAGAAGTTGAAGGTATTTGAGTAACAGGTTCAGATCTACTTCCTACTATATTCTGTATTAGGATTGGTTATTTTTTCAAAAGGAAACTTCCACTATAAATCCCTCCATGTTGTTAACATTGTGAGAGTCACCATAGAGACTTAGCTTCCAAGATCATTGAAGGCAGGTTGGGAACATGACGGCATGGATGTAGGTCCTCTTTCTCACAGGATATAAGTGACCACTTGGCATAGTTGGGCCTATATTTCTGGACCATTTCTGAACCTTGCTGTGCACTTCATGGAGTAAAGACATGACAGAAAAGCTGTGCAAAAGCTTAAGGAACCTTTTTTTTCACTGTTGAAGTGTAACTTAGTTACTGTATTTATACAATGAAAGTTGTCCAGAATCCAAGAATAAAGATTGTGGAGTAAGGTATCACTTTTTGTAAGTGTCACATTATTTTTGTTAGTTTTCAATGCACAAAATGTGACTAGAAACACAGTCAAAATGAAAATCTAGAACATCAAAGGTTGAGAGTGTCATACTTTGAGGTATGACATCTGTAAGTTTCTACATTTCCCCTCACAAAACATAATAAAGACAAAACAACAAAAAGTGCTTTTAAGTAATGACTGCTCCAGTCCCTGCATGCCGATTGTTACCTCCCTTCACTAAATAGATTTGTTGTCAGACTTATGAGTCATTTTGCATTGACGCAATTAGATGAACTAATTTATTATTTGCCTCCTGCAGTTAAATGGATTCTAACATAGGATACATATTTGTTTTGAAGATGACACAAATTATGCACAGTAACTTAGGAGGATGCTAAATAGGCCAAAAAATAGAGGAGTGAACGAAGACAGCCTCTAGGACAGGATCTAAGGCAGTAAAAAATGGGGGAAGACAACTAGGGAAAAGCAGGGTGAGGTGTAAAATAGGCTCTGGTAAATTTTAAAGATAACAATCCTCTTTGTGCCTTAAGATATTGCAAAAAGAACAATAGAAACTAATGTACCAGTGCAAGATCTTAGTGCCTAGCCACTGGCATAGAGAAAAATGTGTTGAATAAACTGCAGATTAAAAAAAATGAGCAAAAAAGAAAAGAAAATCAAAATCAACACTCCATATAGTCCAGTTCATACAAATTACAGAAACCTAAAGTTATGCGTATCCCATGCCATGGGATGACGAACACAAGAATTTCTAGAGGCTGCTCCACGTGAAACCAAAAACAATCACATCACTTGGTAGAGCCTCGCTTGAATATTTATAGATGTCTTCCATTTCAATTCAAAATTGAGACCCTGTAGATGCCATGGCTTCAACACCAAGTCAGTGTTTTTCTTCACATTAAAATTTGTCTTGTCAAATATTTCGTCTGATGAAGAGATCTGGAGACCTCCAAAGCTGCCATACATTTTGTGTCATTCTGGGTAACCTAATAAAAGTATTATGCTAACAGATTGAGGTTTTGTTTTTTTATGCAGCCAACATGGCTAACTTGCTCTTTGCCAAGAAGATTTATGTGGATGGAAGGAAGAAGATGGTAGAGGATCATCTAACGTAATATGCATAATATGCAAATGTGCCAGCTCTTCTTTGGTGTAAGTGCTGGCAGCAATGAACATTTCAATTGGGAGTTACAATGCCAGGCCGAAAGGGGAAAGCACATACTGTACATGCCAATGGCCCTGCTACTGAGTACTTGTAGATTCACAGTTTTCAGGGGTTATTGTCTTGCTCTTGTTTTGTGAGGAAAACTGTTGAAATGTCTGTGATTATGGTCAAATAAATGTCATTGTTTTCACAGAGAAATGTAACCAGAAAACTAGTAATTCTTTGCTACAATTTCATAAGGCACATATATCATATAGTTTTAAACCCTTTTTATTTTAAAAGACTGACATAAGGAATGTTGGGGGGGGGGTTTCAAAGAGTTTTGCCATGGTGGCAGAGAAGCTTATGATTTTCTAGATCCATATCAATCCAGCTTCAGGCTGAGACATGGGATGGAAATGATGTTGGTCACCTTGGTGGATGATCTACGTGGAGCTGGGCAAGGGGAGTATGACTCTACTGGTCCTCCTGGACCTCTCAGCGGCTTTTGTTACCATAGACCATGGTATCCTTCTGGAGCGACTTGCAGGGATTGGACTGGGAGGTACTGTGTTGCAGTGGTTCCAGTCTTTCCTTGTGGGCCGCCTCCAGCAGGTAGCATTTGGGGGGAGGGGGGTCCTGCTTGGCCCCATGGCCTATGGACCATGGGGTCCCACAGGGCTCATATTTATCCCTGTAGTTATTTGACATCTACATGAAACCGCTGGGAGAGATCATCCAGAATTTTGGAGTTTAGAATCATCTGTAAGCATATCATGCTCAACTCTCCTACTACTTTCCAGTGGATGCCAAGGAGGCTATCTTGCACCTGAACTGATGCCTGAGGTCAGTAATGGTTTGCAGTTTGGGGGTTATTCTGGATTCTGCCTTAAATCTGGAAGCTGAGGTGGCGGTGGTGACCAAGACTGTTTTTGGACAACTAAAACTTGTGTGCTAGCTGCACTTGATCCTAGAGAAATCTGACTTGGCCACTGTGGTACACACACTGGTTAATCCTGTTTGGACTACTGTAATGCACTCTACATGGGACTGCCCTTGAAAAGTGTTGGGAAACTCCAGTTTGTCCAGGGAACAGCAGCCAGTTTACTTACTGGAGCGAATTCCAGGGAACAAACCAGTCCGCTTTTGAAAAAGCTCCACTGGCTTCCAATTCATTTCCAGGCCCAATTCAAGGTGCTGGTTTTAACTTATAAAGCCCTACACAACTTTGGTCCAGGTTACTTGAGACACTGTGTTCCCCTATACAGGCCGGGTAGATCTCTAAGGTCTAGTAAGGAGACCTTTACCTCAACACAATCCCTGGACAACATGCACTTAAAAATCACTAGAGAACATACATTCTCAGGGACATCTCCTAAGTTGTGGAACTCACTGACGGAGGAAATTAGATCAGCTCCCACTCTCATGACATTTAGGAAAGGAGTGAAGATTTTCCTCTTAGAAGCAGCTTTTAACTGAAGCCAGGCACTTACTGATACAAGGAATTTTAAACTGATTTTAACTTTTAATGTTTAATAATACAGAAGGGTTTTGGAGATCGTTGAACCTCTATTACTTGTTTGGTTAGGGTTTTCAATTATTTGTATGTATGCTTTTAAATATGATGTGAGTTGCCTTGGATCCGTGCTGGAGAAAGGTGGCATAGAAATCTCCATAATAAATAAATAAATAAATAAATAAATAAATAAATGGTTTGCCAGCATACTAATTACTTTTTGCATACTAAATGATTGAAAGTAATTAGGAATACTTGTGCCTTATACCTTACTAAGGGAGAAGAAGGTAGTTAATTATTCAGATGACTTTTAGTTCACTTATTGATTCAATCCGTTCACATTTGTGTACCACCCGGAAAAAGCCAATAGTTCTAAATAGCTTATGGCATTTTCAACAATGTCACAGTAGGCATTATTTTAGAAAACACATCCTGTTTTCTTTCTCATACAGAATGGAATGACTTGTTTCAAATACAACTTTCCATTTGCAGCCTCAACAAATAATTATGGGACCCCAATTATAGCTCTGTGGTATTTCATACCTGCTCATCTTACTTATGGAGTGCCCAATAGTTTCCAATCCAGCTTCACAGCCATTTAGCATCAACCATCTCACATTCCCAGCCATTGGCTGAACAAACGATGTGTCTGAGTGTAAATTTCAACTTTTTTCTATAATGGACATTATTACCAATGATTAAGTGAATCCTGGACATCTCTTCCCACAATACTGTAATTTTAAAGGCGTGCAACACATAATTCCAGCTCCTCATGCAGGGACAGAAGATAAGCCTCCCACAGGTTGGTAAAACATCAATGTCCTTGCCGACAGCCAATTCTCTCACACCAGAAGCAATTTGCAGTTTTTCAAGTCGCTCCTGACATGAAAAAAATAATCAGTTTTTATTTTTTCCTAGAGCAGTGGTTCTCAACCTATGGCTCCCCAGGTGTTATGGCCTACAACTCCCAGAAATCCCAACCAGTTTACCAGCTGTTAGGATTTCTGGAAGTTGAAGGCCAAAACATATGGGGGCCCACAGGTTGAGAACCACTGCCCTAAAGAGATTTATTAAAAGCACATCAAGAAAGAAAATGGCTAAAAACTTTTGATAAATTTAATGCATTATATATATATTTAAGTAGTCTTACCAAGCCAATCCCCACTCCCAGGAAACCAAAAGAATTGTTGGATTATTTCTTATATGCTTTAGAAAATCTAAGTATGGAAGTGTCATTGCTTTTACTTTAGTTGTGATGAACCACTAAAATGAACTGTTTTGAACAAGAGAGCAGTGAGATGAAGGTGTGTTGTTCAAGTCTTGAAAGATCATGTAGACCTTCTTGCATCTGGGGCCTAAACCAAATTTTTGTTTCCATAGACCTTGTCATTTTCTCTCCCCACCTTTTCTTTTAGAAATAAAATGCCTTTTAGGGGGTAAACCAAATACTTTTATGGGGTGTCCGATCATCTCTTGACAGTTGGCAAACACTAGTGACACCTCATTTTTGCAGAACATGACAGCCTGTTCTGATAATGGGATAGAAAGAATACTGCCAAGAACTTTGGGCAACACATTAAATAAACAGTCTCTGTGGATCCACTTGGCAACCCTACACATGCTGTACCTGTTCCACATACACTGAAATGCCCTCTGAAAATGCCAAACCACTGCATGCACCCTTGTCTGGAAGCAACAGACATTCCATGCCAGCAATGTAGAACATTTTTTGCAGGAGGTAGTCTTAAGAGGGAAGCAAAGCAGAAGTTAACAACATGCTGCGCCCAACAAAGTCTTAGGCAGTCACTGTGTGTGGTTCAAGGATTGGTGTGTTTCAGCAGGAGAGAGTGCTTGGGCTGGGAGACCTGGATTCAGATACTAGTTTGACCATGGACTCACTGGGTGGCCTTGGGCAAGGTGTTATCTCTCTCAGTCTCAGTTTCCCCATCTGCAAAACATTGGAATAAGAATGACCCGCCACATAGGGGTTCTGAAAGGTACCCTATTCCCTTCACAGCCTAGCTATGCAAAGGATACATTATAGTCTATACCAAACCTCTTAAACTGTGGGTTCCAACCACAAATGGGGTCCTCTGAGCTCCATGTTGAGGTCCTGAAAAATTTGGCACCAGTAAAAATTTTCTGGACATCATCTAGTAGCTACACTGTTATGCAGTGTTTACAGTGAGCCATGCAGAAGGTGCTTCAGCTGTACTTCACAAAAAGGAAAATCTTCCTGTTTAGCGAGCATTGCAAATGCTGATTTGTTATTAGTAAATGCTGATTTTTATACCTATTTTATTATCTATATACCTGAGATCATGTAAAAAAATTCAGACAGAAAAGATCAAGAGTGGAAAAGTTTAAGAAGCCCTGATCTACCTAACCTCTCAACACTCTTTTGAAGAGTCTGTTGGCTCAAGAAAATCGTAGATCTTATTTGTGTCTGAGGAAATCTGCTAGATTTGCTACAAACTGATTAAGTGGGGCAAAAATCCCATGCACTCTTTAGTGCTGAACTAGCTGTTCCACTTAATCAACTGCTTACCTTCATACCACAAAGAAGGAATAACTGCTGTTGCATCACAATCTTTTCAGGACAAGGATTGTGGAAAAAGAGCAATCTCTGCCACATTGTTTTCTTACTGGCAGAAGAATTGATTTCCGTAAGGAGACAACATAGGTCCAGAGTTGTTTGCTACAATGATGCACCTACAAAGGCCTGCCTTGGCTTTGAGAAATCACCACTAAGGATGCAGTGTCTTTATCAGAGGTGAGTGACAGGGCCCTCTGATGAAGTTGCATGGGCCTGTTGGTGCAGTAAAGATAAGATGAGAAAGCAAAATACTCACGTGGCATGATTCCCTGGTTGGTGAGCTGTTCTCTGCTTCTTCGCTGCTGCAGCCGCAACTGTAAAACTGGGAGAGAGTGCATCTTTCAGGAAGGGAACTCTTTAACTTTTGCCACAAATAACTCTGAGACTCTGCTGTTACAGAGGGAAGGTTTAGAGCTCTATCACATGCAGAAAGGAATTGCCCTCGTATAACGGCAGTGTGGATCTTCCCTATTACTGGAATGCAGTTTTCTTATTCTCTGACTAAAACTAAGCCAATTAACCTGAAGTTTGGTCAAATGACTATTTCCCTTTGCCCACCCTCTCCTTTCTCTCTCACACACACTAACACACTGTAAAACTTTACAGCATAATAGGGAGATACAATGGGTGAATCTCTCACAGTTTGCAGAGCTGTATAAAAGTTTCAAAAATATGCCGTTATTTTAAACATATTGCTTATTAACATTAAGAATTAATGCTTCTGTTTTGCTAGTAACAGTCAACTCTGAAAGGTGGTGATTATGCATATTATTTGGAGGTGAAGGAAGATATACTCTCCCTCCATTTTTGGTAGTAGTTTATATTTTAGAGTTCATGATGAAGAGTTCAAAAAGGAATTACAAAACTGATTCCAGTCTAGAAAACCTGAAATGTAATTCTATTACATTTAGCAAGAACAGGAAGAAGATAACCTTGATCTGCATACATTTTAACAGCAAGAGACAGACAAAAATGAAAATGTGATTGGACCCTTGGTATCCCTAGGATTTGCCCCTTTCCTGTGGATACCAAAATCTATGGATGCTGAAGTCCCATTATACACAACGACATAGTAAAATTGTGTCCCCTATATAAAATGGAAAAGCAGAGGTATCATTTTTAGTATTTTTTAAGATAATTCAGCTATGGATAGTTGAATCTGTAGGTCCAGAATCTGTGCCTACAGAGTGCTAACAACATATATATTCTTTCTGTGAGACCAATCCAGAATGCAAAGTGCTGGACCAAAGTGCTAGACAAGTCAAACCGACCCTAGGAATAAGAGAATATGTTCTAATGTTCAGTGCTCACACATCTAATCAGTCTTCCTCATAAAGAAAGCCGCAGGATTAAGCATAAATAGTGCAGCAAGCAAACTAATGACTAACTCTTGTTTAGGAATGAAACAGATTCTCTTAAACGTGGGCTCTTTCAATGACAGAGTTATTGTGGCTCAAAATGGAAAGCTGTCCTAGAATAATGGGCTGTCTTACACAGGAGCCCCAACTCTACCTTGAACCAATTAAGCCTTGAAACCTCAGTACCGTCTTTGTACCGTTCTGCCCTTATGATAAGGACAAATGCAAAACAGTGAACATCCACCTTTCCCCCCACTTGCTCTCATAATGGCTGACCTCTTATATTTGGCATATCATAAACTTGTCTGGAAAGTCAAAGGAAAAACATCACCATAGCTATAAAATCTTGCTTTATTTGTACTGAAAGTTACTTTCCTAAGACCAAAATTATTCAGCCTAAAAGCTGATATGCAGGCAACATGATAGCTAATTACATTATTATGACAGACATGAGAATTGATTTAAATTGCCTCCCATATAATAACGTCAGTTTATAAACATGTCCTTAATGTGGGATGAGGACAGAGGTTGCTCATTAGTATCAGTGGTTATCTCCCTACAATAGGTTTTTAAATGCCAGTTTCCCTACAATATATATGAGATGTATATATTCAAATATGACCTTAGACCTTGAACTCAGGATGGAGTGTTTTTAACTTTGAATGTATTTTAACCATGTTTAATATGTTGTAATTTTAAACTATTTTTAGGTGAACTTGTTGTTTTGATAGGCTATTGTAAGCTGCCTTGACTCCCCCTGCTGGAGTAGAGAAAGGCGGAGTATAAATATGGCAAATAAATAAATAAATATTATTTTCATTTAGTATTTATTTTATTTCTGAAATACACCCTAATTCAGAAACATGTTACAACCTCATCACATTGCCAAATTTCCTTGTTGTAGAACACTTCGCCAATTCAGCCAGTGCAGAGCCCACCAAATATCATCATATGATGCACAGCCACTTCCTGCGGGGCTCCATGCTGGTTGCGTCAGTGAAATGTTTTTTTATGACTGAGAACTCTGAACCCGTGTTCAGATTGAAAAGGCTGTGGGCAGGGCAGGAACAAGAAAGATACACTTTCCAGTGTGTGATGGGCAAGCCTGTGATGCTGCCGATTCGGAGTGCCGGGTGATAGAGTTGGCCCACTGCCCAACAATTTGCCCCACTGCCCTATGTGTTGCTCACATCAAGGACCTCCATGTGATATAAATAAAAACTTTATTTATATTTTGCCCTATCTCCCCGTGGGGACTCAAGGAGAAGTCCTTAGTAACACATTTCTAGTCTGCATAGATTTCTAACATTCTAATTTGATGCAGTGGTTTAGTGCACAATATAGAACAAACAAACAAAAAAAGTGGGGAGGGGAGTTAAATGGATTGAAAATCCACCCAGGCCAATGAAGAATATGGAGCTCTGCCCTTTTCAACAAAGCCAGGTCTTGTTTGGAGTAATAGAGGAAAAAATCCTTCCACTTCCACAAACCATCTTGAAGAAGTGCGTTCTGGAGACAAATGGCTTCCTTGATGCACCAACACCCTCTTGAAAACCTCTCATGGTTTGTTTATGCCTGTGCAGGCTTAGCACTATCGAGGGATTAAAGCATCTGTTTGCATGCTGCTTTAATCAAAACTAGTCAAGGAACTTGTTGCATACTTAAGTGATGTCACTTCATGGGAGGAAAGACAGCAAGAGCGTGCCGGGGAAGATGGTAGTTTTCCAAGGGCCTGGTCTTTATGGAAAATGTGGACTGTTTCATGCAGTCTTAGGAACCAGATACAAAGCTCCCACACCACTAAAAAAACCCACTGCACATAAGTCAAAAGACTTCCCATTCACTGTAATCATCTCTATCATGGAAGAAATCTTAGATGAGTTGCTGCTGTCATGCAATTCATTTACCTTCTGGGATTTCAATGGTATGGTGAATGTTTGCTCTCAGCGTTGAGCCCACGCACTTGCTACACATTCCCATCAACTTAAGTGGAATTTACTCACACATGAAAATCCAAGGAATGGAAAATCTAGGTATTCATCTAACATTTAGACACTTTTTAAGTTCACTGATGTGTTATCGCAAGGGATACTATTCATTTTAAAAAAATAAATGCCTGATTAGGAATTTGGGAGAGTTTAGGGGGATCTTCTTGGTGGGAGGGGTTATTTCATTTATACAAGCTCACTTTACCATTTTCTTTTAAAGGACAGCAACAGAAGAAGAGCTGACAAAAAGAACACGAGACACTCCAGAAATAAATGGACAGCAATTAATTGATTTCTTCCTCCCACTCCGTCAAGCCTTCATCCAATGGAACATATAAGCAGTGCTTTTATATAACAAAATCAACACTTAAAATAATCAAGGACAAGTCAAGGCTGAAATCCCAAAACAAAAAAATATGGTGATATGATAGAGGGGTGATGAAGAAACACTTTATTTTGTAATATAAGCAATCAGGAATGTCAGATGGAAACTTACAGTGAACAACCCTTCTGAACTCCTTGAAATCATTGTATTCTGCAATCAAATTGCTATCATGATACTGAATATATGCATCATAAAGACATCCATGTGAGAGTATTTTTTTAAATTTCATTCTGGGTATTTTTCCTTTGATGGCTGCTTTAAATAAAATCTTGAACCAGTCGAATTATTCTTATTTAAAATGCATGGACCTGAATAGTAATGGAGATAGTCCATCCATCTGTCTTGAACTAACAGCAATCTATACATTCATCATAGAAGTTAACCTGGCCCTACAAACTGACCAAGGAACGATGCCAAGATGTTGGGTAGAGTAGCAAAGTTTAATATGGCACCATACACAGAAATCAACCATGCTATGGTTTGAATGTTACTTAAACACTAGCAAGGGTCATACCACACAAAATGTATTTTCAGCATCAAAACTGCAAAACAGCTGGTTAAGGCCAGCTGATGTATAATATTTAATTCGCAAATATTTATTCATAAATGAAATATGACTTAACCTTGTTTATGGAGCTAATGCCATTCCTGTGAGACTTTTCAGTCTTCCTATATCACATCAGTGAAAATAGTATGGTCAAAGAAATTAGCATGGCACCCCAAAATTAGAAAAAGATTGCAGGAAAGTTACACAAATGCTTGTGTATAATCTAGCTCAGTATGAACAAACACAAAGTCTCTGGAAATCATAAAAATACTTCTTGAGCTATAATGGATTTAGTCTTGGGAGTATGAGGTTGAGTTTGATAACTTTCTAGGTCAACAATTCTATGATATAGAAATACCTCTACTGCCCCAAAATCATCTGTCTATGACATTTATTCGGAAGGAGGTGTTCTCATAGATTCAATATTAATTGTGATAAATAAATTATCACAATTATAGATGTTATCTCTTAACAGGTCAGGTGGTAATATGTATGCATTTTTTGTGGTGGGGCAATAATTATACCTGTATGCTTTCTACATTACCCACTACACCTGGTGCTGATAAGTGTATCGTCTTTTCTATTGTGCATTTGGAACAGCCTTGAAAATATCACACACTATAACAAAGAAGGACAAAATAAGAGCAGGGATCAAAACTAAAAACATTTCAGCTTATTTTGAGGTACTACTCAAAGTTTTACAATTCAATGTGTAAGAAAAACGATATCTCTGATTACAAAAGACATCCAGTATTTGATTCAAAATTAAGAATCAAAACAAAAAAAATCCAACTTTACACTTTGCCATTTATTTTATCATAAATGACTGCATGTAACTATACTGTAGCGTAGAAATAAAGCAGGGGTCCTCAAACTAAGGCCCGGGGGCCGGATGCGGCCCTCCAAGGTCATTTACCCAGCTCTCACTCTGGGTCAACCTAAGTCTGAAACAACTTGAAAGCACACAACAACAACAACAACAACAACAACAACAATCCTATCTCATCACCCAAAAGCAGGCCCACACTTCCAATTGAAATACTA